TTACTGAATCCAAACTATTCACTACCAGATGTGCAAATCCATACCAGCAGTTCTCTAACTCTCTTTCAGCTCGCACTGGAACGCAAATCCTCCAAAAAAATGTCTCTTAAAGCTGCAGCGAGGAGAATTACAGCAACTTTAGTAGCCCTGCCTTATCAGGAGGGACTGTTAAGAACAAACCCTGTGGATGTCAACACTCCTGTGAAGTCTGTGTCACTCTTTTTCATAATCACATTTAGAGGTTTAATCAGATTACGCATGTACAATACAAGCTTACCCAATGTGTGGTCTCCTGCCCTAAACTCCCACCTAAATCCTATTATCACTCGTTTTAATTACAGGATAATACCTGTGGGATATTGTATCATTATTGTTGCTAATATTATTAATATACAACTGACTGACACCTGCGTCACATGCTTTACTTTTGAGATGCCAGCACAAAAATGTGGACAGTCTGCTACTGTTAAAGGGATATTCCGGTGTAAAATTAATTCAGGGTCAAACACACCATAACACAGAGTAAGACATCCCCCCGAGAGATGACTGTTGCCGGCTGCTTGCTTCTCTAGTTATACCAACTTTAGAAAAGAGTGCAGGATAGCAATACACAGCGGTCTGAGGAGTCATAAACAAACCTCAACCAAAAAAACCACTCTATAGCCACAAATAATGCTCAGAACAGCACCTAACTTCATCAACAGTGTGTATAGGGTCCTAGTCATAGCACTAACCACCAAACATCTTTTTAATTTTGCCTAATTTCTTTAGCAAAGAGACTAAACACAACTCACCTACTCTCTTCCAGCAGCTGCTTGTTTGTAGCGCGACCTCAGGCCAGCTCATTATGGACTACAGCGGGGTGATGCAGCTCAAGGAAGAACATTTAAGGTCATTACCCCATCATTTCCTTTAAGTAATTATCACCATTTTAATCATTTTGCACTGCAGACGCGGTAGATTGCATTTCCATGAAGAAATGATCATAAATGTTCTTCCTTGAGCTGCGTCACCCCGCTGTAGTCTGTGATCGTCAGCAGACAGATTGGAAAAGCTTAAATTTGGAGATAACAACCAAACTTTTATTTTCACACCATGTGTAAAATGACTCCAGACAAATCTGATCTGCAGCTTGACACAGTGTTATTCTAAATTCAAAGTGCTGCTCTGTAAAACATACTGCTATAAATGACTTTATAAACTCGCCCCCTGTTATTTTACCCTCCACGTTCAGCCGGTCTAAATCAAACTGTTTCTGCAAGTGCAGGGAGAGGCTGGGAGGTCTGAGGAGACCCAGCCACCGAAGGTGTGAAAGATGAGGACAGATGTTGTGTTGTCTGTGACGGTGAGGTCACTTTGATGGCTTTGACCTCATCAGCACGAGTCAGCAGGGCTCTAGCAGCCAACAGGTCATAAATATATGCCTGGGATCGGGAGGCAGACATTACCAACATAGCGTTGAATGACCTAATGATCTGGCAAGCTAATGACAGTGTTGTGTTTTGTTTTGGTGTGCCCATACTACCATTCATTCACAATGCGAAATGGATGTACTGTTCATCAATGTTTTTCCACTTAAATTTGGGGAAGAATTTATAACATTAAATGAAAAATTAAGCAATTAAGAGGAATATTTACACAGGAGTGTTTTTGTACTTTGCACTCATCCCAGGGGTCATGCCAATAACAAGTCCTTGACCTTCTTCTTGCAAGATAGCTTAAGATTACAAACTGGCTAACTGAGCACTTAAGACTCATTATGAAAATGAGTGCTGGTCTGTCCGTGACCCCTCAGTCTGTTTGATAAATTACCACGACTCATGAAGTAAGAAAAGTGACACACAGCCCACCGTTGGCAGGAATGCATATTTATAATACGGTCACTATTACACCAGAGCATCCATCACTGAGGAGCTTTAAGGGAGGTCTGCATGATGTGAGCGCTGTTCTCTTCAGAGTACAAAGATGTTTGTGGCGCACAAGTCTAATGACGTCCATAACCGCACTCAAACTCTTCCCTGTTGTTTTGCAGGATGACTGTATCAGTGATCACGTCCCCAAACAGGTCAGGCAATTCCAGTTGTGAAGCCGCATGGTGGATTTATTAGAACCAGATGGGCTGTGCTGCCTTACAAGCACAGCCCAGTCGAAAAACACTGGGCTGGCTTCTCCCAGGCCTGCTCTGGGAGAACGGAGAGAGTGGCTGGTCCACCCATTTCCTTTCCTTGCCCTTCCCAGGCATGTCAGAGAAGAGCCAAGCCAAAAAAATCAGACCTGCAGTGGCTTTTGGACAGGCCAGGACTCAAACAGTGTGGTAATTACAGATGGCAAAGGGGGAAGGTGTGCGGTGGAGAGGAGGGGGGCTGCCAGGCGGAATCATCCTGTGCCAAAAGCTTTAAAAAAGCCACAAAGGAACTAAAAGAAAAATAAACAAACAGATTGCTAAAAAGCTTTGCACTTTTTTTCTCTCCTTGACACTGACTTTTAAAGCAGAAGTAGCAGAGCTGTACTCCCTAAGGATGAACAATGACATGAGAGCCCTTTGTTCAGTCCTCATTAAGCAGACATAATCTTTAGAGGGCTTCACACAGAGCTTCAGGTAACCTGTCTTTACTGTCTTACATAATGTTTCCTATCTTTCAGAAATCTACCTCCCAGCCACAAAGTCCTTCAATTACTGCCAATAGCAATTTGCACTTGTTCTTACAACCCTTCTGCTCATGACCGCCCCCCCTCCTGTTCTTCATTGGCCAGACAGACTTCTGGTATCCCTCCACATCTCTGAGCTGAGACAGCTGAGCTTAAACCTGCCTGGCAGAAGTATAGTTCACAGTGGTTAAAAGGCCTGTCCTTGCATTGTGCAAGCTCACAGTTTGCTAATATAAGCCCTTATGTATGCAGCCAGAACTGAGAACTCTAAAGTTAGGCTCAGGAAACTCAAGTTCCTCTAAAAGTGGAGTTTAAAACTTAAAGTTTTGACAGCTAGAAAGTTTTAATGAGTTCGTATTACACTTGTTTTATAGAGGGGGCACTGGTCTTGTTTACACCTGGTATTACTACCATGCATGATAAGTGGACAGTCAGATGAACAGGTATAAATGCACTCAGGTTACATTAAAGGCAGGGGTGAAAGTAAGCCGGTACGCAAACTTTCACCTCTGCAATGTTTGTAAGCTACATTTGCTTACCGTGTTGCTGCAGGTCAGTCTGCACTCTGCGTTGTAACCGTAGTAATCCAATATGACCATGCGGCTTCCGAGTGAGTCGTATTTGCTTCCGCAAACAAACAAACTCCGTCAAGTGGGAACGTTCAGTACGCATTTTTGATTGGACGTTGGTTGCCTAGGCGCTGGGGAAGCAGGAACTGTTAAAGAGACAGCTGCTTTAATTTTAATGCAGAAATAAAACAAAATACAGAGAAAATTGATTTTATGTTCAAGAAAAAGAGAGATGCAGCAGATGATGATACTGTGGCATCAGAGACGGCTCCTCGTTAAACTTGGGTGTGCTCCTCCTGTACAAAGCCTATGGGTACAGTACCTACAAGAACCTTATCCTACTTTCACCCCTGATTAAATTGACATCAATCTTGTAGTACATTTGGACGGTTTCTCAGGAAACATTCAGACAGCCAATCAGATCACTGCATGGGTATTGAGGTTAGTAACTGAGAAGCTGCAAATCCTTCATAGAGGCTAAATTGTCTTATTATTTTGCAAGTGAATTAATGTTTTTCCTCAAAAGAACATTAAAAACAGCTTAAGAGTACAGTTTTATGGGGACTTTCAATACAAAAGCTGAGTTATATAGAATTTGCAGAATTAGGTGCACAACTAAGTTAACAGATAGATGGTAGTTGTGTTGAAGCTGTGTGCCAGAAGTTAGAGGAAGTTTGGGAGCACCTGTTGACTATCATAACCATAACACCCTTTTAGATGTCCTTATTTTAACCCGTACTGAGGTCTGGGCCATTCAGTGACTTTGCCAAAGCCAAGTATTCACTTTAATATTGCCACACACACTTCTTGGAGTGATTGGTAAGGATTTGTACTACTGAAAGGAAGCTGGATTTTGTAGGGTGTGGGGAAAATCAACAATCGTAGCTATTGGCATTTTCAATGTTGGTAAGAAATTAGAAATTATGTAACTATAAAGCTCATCTACTCTTATATCCCCTCCAACAACAAGCTGTTTAGTATTTGTATTTAAATGTTTAGTTAGATTTGATGGATTTGGACTCTGCTATGGCACAACGAGGCTCAGTCCTCCCATTCTCCCACAGGTTCCCTCTTACTTGTCTACATGAATCACAACAATATTAGGTGTTGCAGAAGATGATTTTACAGAATGATTCATTCCCTCCAATTGTAGATGCAAAGCAATGCCAGATTTTATTTGCTCATTAAAAGCTTACTTATGATCATTCACAGGGACCAAGAGCGATACAAAGACATTTCCAAACAGGTGGAGAAACTTATGAGCATGGGTGGATTTCCTGAGAAGAAGCATTTAATAGTGCAGAAAACTGGAAAAGCAGCATTAGAAATTGGCACTTTCTCCTGTTTGTAGTAAAGCAGTGGAATAATCTAACGTTACACAATTTTGTTTTGGGTGGCCTTGCATATTCCCCAGAAAATAAAAACAGCCGCTGTCCAGGGAAGGCCCAAATATAATTCATGGCTTGAGGAGAGGTTTTTCCCTGTTGCTTCCATATTTTGCCATGACAAGCTTGTGTCTCAAAAGGATCATGGAAGAGAAACATTGGCTGGACATGGAGCTGATTTACACCATAAGTTGTTTAAAATGAGAGGGACTTTTGTTGATGGATACAGATTGAGGAAACAGGTAAGTATGAAGGCCAAATCCTGAAAAACAACTTGTTTCTGAACAACTGTTTCCTGACGCCAAGGACACAGGCATGTCCACAGGGCTGGTTTATGATGGATAGTTTTTGTGAAAGTAAGAACAGGACAGGTAGTAAAGTGACAGGAGACCTTGGAGGAAGAAAATCAATCAGTTTTTATTTCTCAGAGGCTTTAAAACAAAACAGGGTGATTTAAAATAAGTGTCTCATAACTTATGTCTTTGCATCTCATAACCTCAAATCCAAAATATTGTGAGGCTATTTGAAATATTGATTAAAACAAAGTCAGATTGTTTAAAATCATTCAAGCCCTTTTTAAAGATACTGTGTGCTGTATTTGGTAGATTTAAGCAGAACTGATTTGGGAGAAATGGATTACAAAACTTAGTGATTGTGATAGGACTAGAAAATCCTGATTCCTTCATGGCACCTGGTGAGACGATGGTGAGTTTGGGTGAATTTGGGTTTTACTGAGACATGCAGTACTGCCACTACCTAAATACAAAAAACATGCAATCCCCTGATGAATATGAGCATCTAGCTCCTGTCCTGAGTGAGCACTCCTGTCAGAGCAACGGCAAGCTGCTTGATGTGGTCGGTCATTTCCTCTGAGCTGGCCGTGCTTCAGCGTTGGAGGGGGGTGGTTTGAGGACTGTGGGAAAAAACCAGTGTGAAAGAGAAGAGAGGAAGTGTGTATTTATCTCCGTTGGTGGGGCATGATTCCCTCTTTGATCTGTCGGCAGACCAGCTCCTGGACTGCCTTGCGGGCAGCAGAAGCCATAAGGTCACTGTGTCAGCACCACGGGGTCTGTGTAGACACTCGGTCCACACCTATCTGCATCCAAGAGAAAACACTCCTTCATTTGGTGGAATAGGAACAGGTGCATCAAAATCAGTTAGTAGCTTTAGGAGGTGCTGATCTTTGTAACACAGTAAAGGACTATTAAACCATGCCTATCAAGTGGTTATAGGGCTGAGTGACAGAGATGATGCAGGACTGCAGTTCCATGAGTGGCCACTTGAGGTTGATTCATAAAGCCCCATATCAAAGTGCACAACTGTACAGTAGACATAAACCCCTAAAGCCTGATACAACAGCAGTTTTGTTCTCTATAGTCAGTGTTTATCCATAAAAACTGCACTAATTAATCTAGTCTGGCATGATATAGGGTGCAGTCAGCTGTCTCCTAATTCCAGTTGATGGACATGGTATTACAGCTGTGTTTGCCTTTTGCCCATGATATTTTCATGCAAGTAGAAAACACGTAGTTTATTGCACCAGCAGGAGTAAAAAAAAAAATGGCCTCACCTTTCCGGCGAGTGAAAGTAGACGCAAAAATATTTGGAGGCAGAGATTTGTTTTCCATTATGCACGTTTTGAAGTCTCATTTCAGAAACTAGTCAAAAAAGTAAACCAGAGGGTAACATCATGGTGGTCGTGTCTATTCTTCTAAATGTCTATGGTCCTGAAACATACCTGCTCATGTTTCTGCTCAATGTAATGACTACTTCATCCAAATCAAGTATCAGTCATTAATGATCACTCATCAACAGCAATCAAAGGATTTCAGCTTTATGAATGACAAGGCTAAATCTGTTCAGCACTAATGAATGGTAAAGACATTTCCATTGAGGAGATCTACAGAATAGTGTATGATATCATGGGGTTTGGTCTCCACCATAGTCATCCATCCTCAATCTTAGTCACTGTACAAACAATCCTTTATTTGCTCTTCTCATTCAGAGAAGGAGTGGCTGATTAAATGATCTGTATTCCATTGTCTAGAATTTGTAGATTTAATTAAAGCACAAGCTTCATGTCAACACCTCCCTCAGAGTTCAGGATGAGATAATGTAGGTTTTTTTTACATATCATTGTGTCTTCAATCCATGGGCGACTTACACTAAAGTCTGCATTCAAAGTGGTTTTCCAAGCGGGGGTCCCTCGCCAGGAAGTGTGTTTCCCAGAGTTCAATTGCATCCAATGTTTGGAAATCCTCTTCTCGTGCGTGTATATCTTTACTCAGGATTTCCAGCAGCGGGTACACCCAGACCCTCTCCACCTTCTTCTGCGTGCACACGGAGGAAGTCGGTCAGTGAGAGTGCAAGTGGCACATGGTTGTGAATGGTGGCCTTAGAGCAGATTAGCTGCTCCTGTGGCTATCTGGTGCTGACAGTTCACACGGGCCGTTTTTTCCACTGGCCCTGGGCGTATCAACATACTGTTTCCCTTCTCAGAGGCTCTATCTCCTGGCTCAGGGCTAAAAATGTGAAGGCATACTGTATACAAGGCTGCAAGCACAGACAAGGCTCAGAAAAGAAGATTATTTAGTTATTTCAGCTGGTTTAAGAAAGTTACATTTGACTTTTTGCTTTTAATTTCTTTTTCTCACCTTTCTGAATAAAGAAATAAATGCAGACACTGTAAAACACATACACCAGGGAATTATTGGTAATATAAGAGCTATATCTGTTAAAGAGTGAGTTTGTGTTGAAGAAGGATGCTGAAGTAAACAGCGTTATATGAGCCCATAATGGTGTGAAATGTCTGATTATGATTGGTGCACTGTTTACTCGTGCAATCATGAACAAACTTGACTTTCTTCCAGTTCATTCAGATGCAGAAAACAAGAGTATTGTAATTATCTCAGAGGATGGAGGGTAAATTAAATACAGCTTTGAATCAAAGATCAAATTTAACCTCCGATACAACTTCAAGGGGCCCTTTGTGGTCCTCTTGTAAACATACAACGTTTGTGTGTACATCTAGTATTACTCACCACAACTCAAATCGGTTTTCCTAAGTTGTAACAAATGTGATGATTTCATTACTTCCTTCTCAAACATCTGAAACCTGGGTTGTTCACTTTTGGTGTTTACTTGCTGACACGCTTCTTCTTCTTCTCCGCCGTCGCTGGCAGATTTCTGTGAGCCACATGTTGAGAAGAGGGGCAGAAAACAGAGAGTGAGTGTGCACATGTATGTCAAATGTTCTCCAGCAAAAAGGGAACCAATGAAAGGTTGTTGCTTTACCTGAAACTGCTTCAGACTCCACCAGAAAGACACAACATAGGTGCTGAACTCCTGCTGACTGGGTCTACAGGAGGCAGCATTAGCAGGTTTCCCCTTCAAAGACAGAAAAGGGGAACTTGTCATAGATACCTTCTACACAACGGTGACTTTTATTTACATTTTAAAGATTATGGATGAGCAGATCTAGTATCTATACCATTTACAGTTCATTAACAGTGAGGACATACCTTGGCACACATGCACCGTTTGGCAGCTGAGGATTAAACGTCAAAAGTTCTGAATGCCACAAAAAAAAAGGACTTTGACAAATGGGAAACAGCTTCCTGATCAGTGTGGTATTAGTTAGTTGATGGTGGAAAGGACAAATATTTAGCAGCTAGATATATACATCTATATTTGGTGGAGATGGAGAAACGAGTGTGTACACTGGAGAGAAATAAAGTCATTCACTGCGACATTATTTAAGGTTTGGTATAAAAAGTCAAATAAGAAGACTGATTTTAGAAATTAGGAATTGTTTTAAGCTTAAGAAGATCACTATGAAGCGTGGACAGAAAACTATATTGAGCTTGTTTATCTATTTGATGATATAAACGTGGTTGCTGCTATACAAACAGCATGTTGTTTGTCTGTTTCTTGTCAGTCATTTTTTTTAAGGATCTGTGAGCTTCCAGGGTTGTAGTCCAGCCTTGGTCCATGTGGTACAAACGCATAAAAAGGTTCATTATATAAACACCTTTTGTCTATTTGAATGTGACTTCTTAAAGCTACTGAGCAGAACTTTTTCTTTGAGTAGATTTTGGCAACGCAATGATGTTTATCGTAACGTAATACATTTTATCTCTTCAATAAATCCTGCCTCATACTTAAAATGGTGATTTTTTTTTTACTTAATGGCCAAACATACTCACAGTGAATAATTGCAGTGGTAAGTCAAGTGCTTATCTGACATCTCTGCGGTGGCAGTGTTTAGAGACATTAAAGATAACCAGAAATAATGAGTCATTGTGGATGACCTTTGCTGTTTTGACTCATGAGGAAAGAGTCATTATTACTTTTGGTCTGTTTTATGACCAACTTAAAACACTCATCACAAGAGTTTTAAAAATCAAAGCATGACTTAACTTTATCTTCAGTACTGACTGTTCCCACTTTTGACTTTGTAATCCAAATTTAGGGACAGATCATCTTCTTGGTTTAACATACAACTCTAGATACTTACTGGGGCTCTCTCACTAGGCCTCTTCAACCTTTAACCTGCATTCATCGGCCGTTTCAGCTATTTGACTGGATCTTATAATGTCAAACATGCCGCAAAGGAAATTGCTTCATTTGTTTCTGCTGCTTGTCACATCAGAGATGGAAACCATTCAGATGTGGTCATTAAGACAATGGAATTTATAATCACGGACTTATTTTTTGGCAAAAGTTGGCCAACATGTGTTTACTACGGTTATTTAAGGTCAAACACACTCTTTGGTGAACATCCGGTTTCTATCTGAGTGTCTCCTTAACAAGCACCAGCCATGCTCTCACCCCTGACTGACTCTTAAGTTTTCATCTCCAGCCACCCATTAGAGCGCTCGTTCGCTTCATTATCTTTATTAATGAGTCCTTTCCCTCTCTGTCGCGTTAGAGCTTTCCCCTTAAGGATCTGCTGATACTGCCGGTCATTAGGAGCTCAAAGCGTGGGGCTCCATCTGGACTTTCTCACTCAGAAGACTGTCAGTCCTTCGAGGCTGCTGAGGCTCCAGCAAACTTTCAACAGTCCTCTCAACCAGGTCCCTGTGATGTGGAATATGGGGCTCAGAGAGACAGAAAGTCTGTGGGTTATAAGTCTCCGTAGATGGCTCACAGGAAAAAGTAGTCATATTATTTGGAAAAGGCTTGAAGGGGGAAAATTAATGAATATTCGTTGTGGATGTTGGGGACAGAAACAGGCTTAGAGAATTCATTACAATGGAATGAGGTTCTCGTAAGAATTGCTAAAGCATGAAATATGTAACGTCTTTCCAGCTTTTAATTATTTAGACATATCAGATAGCAAATCACCGAAATAAAAGTGAAATCCATTTGTTACTGATTAGCATAAATAAATGAGAAGTAAATGTTAATGTTAGGGGCCTTAACGATGATGGAGGCCCGCAGAATTTCCATTTGCAGTCACGCACAGTAATGTCATCACTTCAAGAGAATTTCACCCCCCCCTGCAGATTAACAATCCCACAAAGCTCCGCAGCGCAGGTTCAAGCACCTGACGTCACGTGCTGGGGTGGGAGCGGGGTCTTTAATATAGCGTGGCGAGGGTGTGGTGCTGTGAGCAGGGAGACCATTAAACTGTCACCACTCTATTTGTGTGGTGGGACTACAGAGGGTTTGCTCTCGTCCCCTGTAGCTCCTCTAATGATGAGATTTGAGGTTGCTCTGCCGCCTGTGTAATCAAAATTCAAGATTGCATTTGCAGCTACTGTTGAGCCGCAGCAAGCGCGTGCATGTGAAGGTGTAGCACGGGCGCATGCTGTTTTTGTGTACCCATGAGGTCAGGGAGGGCAGAAGAATTCATATAGTAATGTCAAAGTCTACGAGAGTAAACTTAAAGCTTTCTGACTGTAAATCTACAAGTCTTTAATAAAGCAGAATTATAGTCCTTTGAAAAGAACAATTAAAATAGATTGAGCATAATTGGCAGGTTTATCTGCTCCATAACACAGGCATCTCTGTTACACGCTGTGCTGATCAGTTGCCATAGCAGCAAATGTTTTCCTGCTAATCACTGTCAACTTACAGTTTACAGCTTGCTCAAATAAAGGGTTTGACTGCAAAGCATACTTCTGCTCTTATTACCAGCGTATTTTAAGACCTGGGTGTTGTAGACTAACCTTTAATTTTGTCACATGGAAGGAAATATCGGTTTAATTATGAAATGAAACATTTTCCGAGCTATGCTGTTACGACAGAATTCGTCGAGGTGGGTAAAGTTCAAAGATAACAGAACGATCTTTGACAAATGATGTAGCTGCAGCTTTGAGGAATGCATCTCAACCTCAGGCAGTTTAGTCTGAGCATAAAGAAATGTACTTAATCATTCCACACTTACAGGAAGTCAAATTAGCTGCTGAAATTATAAAACAGAGCTGACCTTAAACACATGGCTTTCACCCTGTTTGCCTGTTTGGCTGTGTTGCAGCAGCACCTCTGCGTAGCAACAGAACAGGAAGATACAGTAGCACCACCTTGTGTCGTGGCACAGTCAGAGGTTAAAAGGTCTGCAAAACACCCTGTCCAACTAACTATCCAACATTATAGGGAAAAACATTTAGCACAAAATTTATGATACGAAAATAAATGTGAAAAATTCAGTGAGGCAGAGAGACTGATAGTGAACCCAGCATGGATTAGATGAAATAATGACCTGTATCTCTTCTATGAGGCAGCTCTTGCTCATGAGAACTTTTCCATCAGCCGATGACGGAGCTGGGCGGTGTGAGGGCATCCCCTTGGCCTTTATGTCTTACGCACAGAGACGAGCAGAATGGCTTGTGTTGGCTCTTCCTCCAGCCAAACGCAGCCAGACACTGAGTTGTTCTGGCATAATTAGAACCTGCTGCAGATGTCTGAGGTATTACCTCACTGCAAAGAACACGGCTTCCCCAGCCTGCAGCCCCAGCTGGCTGGATCCCGTTCCACTACTGATCAATGGGGAGCTCCCTGCACTTAAAGCCACTGCTGGTACTGTACATTGACCCTATTGAATAGCAAGAGGACAGGTTTTGTTCCTTTTTGAGGCACTTTGCTGAGTGGAGGCCAGTCCATTTGTAGTTTGCAGACTTTTCCGTCAGTGTTGCAACCGATAATGCTCAATTTACAGAGGGATACAATGCAACTTTCTATATTGTCTGACACATCTACTGTTAGCATATGGACCAAATGCTGTTAGTCTTTTATCTTCTTCTCTTTATCAGTCAAATATGAAAGAAACAGTCAAATATAGATATTATTATTGTTGTGTTGTATTTGTATTAGTTATTTATAAAGGATGTAGAAACACAGATTCAATCTACATTGACTCCATGAGATTAGAGTTCATACCTACATCACTTTCAGCACATCCAACTGGATGAAATTATGAACCCAGCCTCTGATTGGCTAGAATAATCAATTTAAGGCATTAGAAGGCGGCTAAGTGAAAAGCTAACCATTTTTCTGCACTCATAAATGGTTAAGTAATCACAGGAATATATTAACAACTGGATTTATCAGGAAGGTTTTACCGTATAGAGTCTGTAAAGAAGCTCATTGTAAACTTTATAGAGAGCAGATGTCGTATTTGAGCTCTGTGTGGAGCACATAAAGATGTGCGACTGTAGCAGTGATTGGAAAGACATCCCAAGGACTTATAGAGGTGCAAGAAATTAATTGATTCTTTCTAGATTTAAAATATTTCCTTAAAGAAACACCAGGATAGTCAAAAAATGAGTACGTACTGCTGAGCTAAGAAAAGAAAACACAAATGCTCGACCACCACTGAGCAGAATCTCAGAAATCTTCATTAGATAATCTATTAAAAGGTGAATTATAGCTCTTATATCATACCAGGCTTTGTGCTGTTACAGCACAGGCATTATAATATCTATGAACGCTTCCCTGGTGGTGAAGAATAAGCAGAGTCTCAGCGTTTAAGCCTGTGAGGGACAGCTTTGGGATCAAGGCCGTCTCCAAGGTCTCCTAACTGCCTGAATCTAAACTTAAGGTCGTTCCTCTGCTGCTCGACCAATTACCCACAAATGCAGCTCTGCAGAGTCTCAGCCAGGCGCTCTGGCTAAATTGTTACAGGACGTCCTCCTTTGGGTTTACTTTGGAAAATATGGGCTGTCATGCACTGACATTTTTTTATCAACTCACTAATACTCAGGGGACACCAGGGACTGATTTTCTACTTGCCAGTTGCAGCAGTGAGAAGTTTGCAGACAGAAAAATTGCCATGAGCTCTGGAATGAGAATTGTTTCTTAATTTCTTGTCTTTTTTTCCCCCAAGCAATCACGCTGGGGCCTTTAGTGACACATCACTGCAGTGGAACATACAAAAAAACGTTTTAATAATTTCCATATCTTTAGGGAAATGTGACATTACTGCCTGATATGTGCCGGATGTCAATGACACCATGTCTCGGATACTAAAAGCATTCATCTCCCTGAGAACAAACTCGTAGACGCTGTTCGGAGGGTGAGTCATGTCATGACTTGTCTGTATGTGTGTTCCATAACCTCTGGTCTCTGCAGAGAGGATCATTACAGGAAAACGGTGGTAATTGTTTTTTTATGACGGGAGGAGGAATCAAGAAATGTCAAAGAAAAGACAGACACTGTATTGGAGAGTACATGGAGCGGAAGTTAAATTAATAACCAGACATGACAAAAGAGGCCACTGAACTGATAAAACAAAACTTATAAACACCTAAGCTGCTATTATTTATTCTATGTAAACAAGGTCTATCTACTATTTGTATTTCAGAAGATGTTAAACTAATACAGATTACATAACTGTGGAGCTCTACCAAGGGTTTTAGCATCATTTCACTTTATGTTTTTACCGTAGTGCGATAGTTACAAAAGCAACATTTTCCTTATCGTGTTGCTCTCACTCTTTTTAGTGATATTTATTGAAGACACTCTCTCTACTTTTAAGAGTAGACTTAAAACTTTCCTTTTTGATAACGTGACCGCCATAGTTCAGTCTGGACTAGCTCTCAGTTATGCAGCTATAGGCTCATACTTCAGGGGAAACTGGCACACTGAGCTCCTGTCTTTTCATGTCTCTCCTCACAAACTTCTGAACCTCCATTTCCCACCAAAGTTACACACCAAAGATGTATCTGGGAGCTCCCTTGTCTTGTAGGTTTCACCGCATGTTGCTCCAGACGGCCTGCTGCTGCTGCCCAACTCCAACATCTATTAATATCAGTCTCAACGTTATTACTATGAAAAAGCTTATTTGGATTTTATGACGGCTTGACTCACACTGCTGTAAATGATATTGCCATTCCTACCTCTATTATTATCAACATTATTGTAAATGCAAATATGAGACCTGTTGACTTTAAGTGGCATAGATAAGATCAGTCTTATGTTTATTTACTCTTACCATTATGATTGGTACTATAACCATTGTAATAAATTTCTGAAGTTTGTCCAGAGCCTCATAAGGATGGCTGGCGGAGGCGGGATTTATGACCTATACTGCAGCCCGTCACCAGAGGGTGCTGTTCTCAGAATGGCTTCACCCAGCGAGGAGGCAATCGGCGTCCATCTATATACAGTCTATGGCTAAAATCCAACCTACCTTATTGGAGTTGTGACTTTGTAAATAGTATGAAAACAAAGTACGGTCTGGAACAGCCTCCTCTGAAAAGCACCTTGAGAAAGTATTTATTGTAAATTGGTGCAATATTATTGATTAATTGATTGATAATTTTTGATCACCAAGTGCAGAGAATCATTTTTGAAGTACCTGCACAACACAGCGTCGTAGCTAGCTAGCTAACTAGATTCAGATGCCGTACTTCCCCCCCAAAAGTTGTTGGAGATCAAAAAGAGAATTGAATATTAGATTAGATTAGATACACTGTCCTCGATTAACATTAGGATGACATACATTTAAATTCATGTTGACATAAAATAAATAAAAAATGTGAACATAAAATGTGAAAATGCTGTTCAAAATGCTTTTTCAGGAGTCTGCCCCTGTGAAGGGTTTTCAGGGGTCTCTTATTGTTTTCCCTAGAGTACCAAAGCAAGCAAGCCAACATGTTCACAGGGAATTAAAAAAGTTACACCAGCACATGATGAATATACAGAATGTGCTTGCGTAAGACCTCAGTCAATGAGGACCCCCCTTAAAAAAAGTTAATTTCAGCCTTTTTTTAATTTTAAAAATGTACATGCTCTGTTTCTATTGAAGGCCCCCAGACAGAGCGTGTCCATTTTGATTTATGGAGAGGAAATAGTTGTGCTCTCCTCGCGGGTGGGCCTGTAAAACCCATGTCCCCCCTGGCTCTGGTGTGGCGGCCTTGTGTAAGCTGCAGCGTAAGCCCAAATCACAAGAGGTCATCACCTCCAATAGTCAGTTGCAAGTCTTGAATTACAACCTGCTCGCTGGAGAGAAATAATCCCAGATGTAGTGTCAGTTTGAGAGCCGAACCACTGAGAAGATACTCGATCAGCCCCCGAACAGTCTACAGAGGCAGGGCGGTATGGAGTGAATCCCTCGATCGTTGAAAAAGGAAAAGAATCTGGCTTTGATTCAAGAAAGAGGAAATCTACAGTCACTCTAAATGAAGTGCAAGACACAGAGCGCAGAGTATTGACTTATTAGGAAATAATGTGTGAACTGACATATGAGGGGGAATAATAAAGGCAGACATGGTGTCATAGTTGAACACTCATTTACTGCTTCTCTGCTCCTCAGTACCTTTTTCAATGGACTGTAAAAATGCAGGATGTGTCCGAACTCACGGAATCGATGGAGGTTATTACCTCCCTACAGACCTCTGGGAGAATGTATTGAGAGCAGGTGTGCTCATATAAAAACCATACAAAAATAATGGCATATGACTTTGCAAAATGAAGAGATTTAATAACTTTATTAGACACCTGGAATTTTTGCTTTGTGTAATAATACCCTCAGTGGGCATATGAAACTGAGGCAATCATCCAAGGAGGTTAATCTGGGTCTATAGCCATGAAGAGAAATATTATCATAAAGCGTTTCAAAACAGTACAGATATCGTGCGAGTCTATGGGACATTTTCTTTGGGTCCAATTTACTACTTACGTAAAACTGTGACATCTTTGTTGGCCTGCTCGTAATGGAGACATGATGTAATTTTGATTAGGTGGTTGGTTTTGGTATCACCTCGGCGTGATCTTCTCTTGTCGTCACTGAGCGATGTGTCTCTCCACTCCAAGGATTGCAGACACTTATGACCCGATCTGCTTCATAACTGTCTTCATAACCAACACAAATTTGACTTCCCATCCGCTCAAAGGTCCGTCGAATCTCTCTGGAAAACAAATTGTGAGAACCAAAGTAATAAATTCGAACTCTAATACAGTAAGAAACATTACACCGCTATAAATCAAGTTAGGGAACTTGACAACAATGGGTGTGAGCATGTTAGTGACCCACCAAAACTCCAGTCTTTCCCTCTCTGGAGTTTCATAAGAATGAAAAAATGCACAGTGTATTAAATACAGTATGCAGACTGTAATACAATGTGAACAAACTGAACTTTAAATCTTATTTTAACATCTGCTACTTTTTAAGAAATCATACAAATAATCAAAGGTGATTGGATGATGAATGAAACAATGAAATATTCAATTTTTCTATTTTCTACGAGCCATACTTTTTGACATAAGGTATACAGTGCAGTTCCTTTCATACAGAGTGATGCAATTCATTTGAAATTCTGAATTTCAGTACAGTTTAAAACATTTTAGCACATGAACTGGAGCTGTAATATTTTAAAGTTTAAAGCTCCTGTGAGAAACTTTAAGTTTGTGTTAAATCTGGTGTCACTCTGGCGACAAAGCAGTACCTCTTCTCTTCGTCCTGTTTTGTCCTTTCTAACTAAAAGCATCCCCTTTTTTATTTTCACACTCAAATAACATGATTTAAGGACAGGCTGTTTTGGTAGAGTGCAGTCCATCAGCTGGATTGACACCTCCTCTTCCTTGCTAGCAGTTTTTGCATTACAAAAACCATATCAAAATAGTCTATCCCATTTCTAATGGTCTAATATGCCTTTGATTGTAATTAAGAGGCATCAATATTTTGTTTCGCCTGTTCTCTCACCAGCAAAGAAACTCCTTACTGGGCAGTCAACAGATTTATTGATACATCTTTAAATACAGATCAGATTTGGATCTACTTATCTCTTACTGCGTTCAATTTCCTTTATCTTTATATGTAGTGTTTTTTGTGGTCAGAGACTCCATGACAGATAGTGGATGGGTCATATTATACAATTTGGACAGCTACTTACAACCGAAATTACTCCACTGCAGTCAGGGGCACTGAATAACAGAGAAAAGTTTCTAAGGGCCAATCACTGACAGAACTGTTAAAATATACCAGCACATTTGCGGCAGTCAAGAGGTGGTGCCAACATTAATATATTTTCATGGAGCCCAAAATCCCTCCAGGTGTATCCGACAAACTGGGAGTTAAAGACCCAGAGTGCAGTTTGGGAGAATTCAAAGAGCTGTATTAGACTTTTATTGATATTTATGATGATGATGAAAATATGTAATCATGATGAAGGGGGTAGTTGTATTTCCTGACTGTTACGCTACAGTAAAAATTCTCATATCAAAGTTACACATGACTAACATGAATTAAATGTCAGCCAGCTCTTTTATTAAACAGGAAATTCTCATTATATGTGTCCCTGTTTGCAGACTGTAGTGATATTTAATGAGCTAGCCCTTTAATTTAGAGATTAAAGCGCACCACTAATGACAGAACTCCACAGTAACTCATAGTTGTCCCTGTAGTCTCAAGACCACAGAGGAGGAGAAGAGGACGGAGAGTGACGCACTTTGTTGTATATATAGACCCGGTGATTCCACCTCTCTGCCACCAGAATGGAAGGAATGTCCTGATAGATCCGCCCCATTCATAACATACACACAAGCAGGACAATAACATCAACAAAAGAGCTTAAAATTGGAGAAATGCAGCTTTTTATATTTGACATACAGTTATTAAGCTGAGCTGTGAACCCAACACTATATGTGCAGATTTAATTTACCATTAAAGCACTGACCTTTCTCTTGACCTCACAGCTTTGATTTTTCTCCTCAGGTCTTCTCATTGTAAAGCTGGCCAAAACTCACGCCATTGCAGAGCTGTCCTTGTGTCATCAAGTTCCAGCCTCCTTTTCTCACTCTGCAGACACAAATGCCATTCTTAATGGTTCCACTTTGTTTTGCTCCAAGACACTGGAATCAGATGTAGTTATCTTGTTCTTGTGTGTTTTGACAGCAAGGATGGAAATTACATTAAACTGAAAAAACAAAACAAAAAAAACATTGACTCCATGTTTATATCTGACAGTGTATAAAATACATTGTAAAAGGAAGAACCGGGGCTACATGCCGGAGATGGATTTACAGCTGATCTTGAGGATGATAGAAGAACATAAACTCCAAATACTGGCAGCATCAACATCTGGAAACTCAAACATGAAGAATTCATTCACAGAACCATCTTGACTGACTGATATTCTGCTGCTACAAATGGACCAAGTTATTATGCAGGGTGTGTTAGACATGATGTATTTCGCATCATGTCAGAGTAGCTGTGCAGATCTTACAAACTTCCCTTCCCTCTGCGCCATGACATAATACTGGATGTGTCAAAAGGTTGACGTACTTTGTTTAGACAATAACATAATTAAAGCTAACTTTTAATACTGACTGGGAATGGTGGAATCAAAGCACGTGGCATCTGTGGCGTAAAACTACGAATATGAACTTTTGTTCACCTTGAGGTGTCTGGATTCAAAGACTCTGGTCCCAAAGATTGATGATGTGAGGTTTGAAAGCCCATAACTCATGTTAAATACTTCTTAACTGGTCAAGATGAATGACAAATTATTGCCCAGTATGAAATCAAAAGCTCAAAATATTCCCAATCACTGCGTAACTTTTTGGTTCCAGACAATTTTACACATCAGATCCAGTCTGGAATTGTTTTTTTGACTAAGTATGGCTCCTTCTCACAAGACTAGAACACAAATATTCAATGTTTCTGACTTTCAAAACATTGGTCTACCACAGGTGCAAGCTTTCCATACCAATTAGCAAGTGCTCCACCCACAAATTTTCCGTCAAAATAAACCGGGAACACATAAAAAATGCACATTAAAATGGGAGTGATTGTCTTTGATATTCAATGCTTTAATTGAAACCAGGCAGCTGAGCTTTATTTTGACGGCTCCATGGTTTTCATCAGTGAAAAAGGGGATTCCTGAGTGATATGCTGAGGAATACTAGGTTTCCTTTTAGAGGAAAACCAAACAAGGCAACACGTCATTGTTTTGCGTTGGCTGCATGGTCAATGGGCCGCAGAGTTTTTTTCTGTACCTGTAATGGACACAGGGTCAAATGTTCAAACTCCTTCTGTCTGCCACTCACACACTCTCGCACAGAAGTTCGCAAACCAGCTCACATATGGCTGGGCTGGGTAAACATCTGGTAATCTTTGTTTCACCTCTCAATAGCTCACCAGGCCGCACTCTCGCTCTGTGTACTCAATCTTCTCCAATTACATAGTCCCTGGCTGCTCCCCTGAGGTTACGTAGACAACCTTTTGGGGTTGCGGAAGGAGTTTCCACAAAATAGGTGTTGTCTGAAAATTCCTCACAACTGTGGAAATAAACCAACAAAAAGAGAAGGAATTATACACGCTGAGGAAAGAAGAGGGAGTCAGTGCATGCATGACTTTGTACGGGTTCAACCAGGACTAATTTTGTTCATTTTCCAGTTCGAAACCTGGATCGAAGTGAAAGAATTAAAGAAGCACATTCAAGTAGAAACAGACATTTTTAAGGTTCATTTATTTTTAGTTGTGTCAAAGAAGAAGAAGAGGGGCTGGACCGCAAGCATTTCACTGGCTTCACTTTAATCCTTGATTAAACCCATTCTAAGGCCAAGGATGGTTACAATTATTCTTTCCTCTAGCTTCAAAAGTCCCTGCCCATGGTATTAGACTGGCGGCTTCCTTTTGGAAGTACTTCAAAAAACACGTTATAACAATCCCAACCTGAACTTGATGGTCCACACCCTCAGCATCCAGGCACCACTCCTCACTTATTTTCCAACATGCTCTTTACCTTGTGTTGACGCAAATACGCAACAATGTCCATCCATTCGTTTCCACAACAACCTCTCAGGTCCCACCGCCGAGGCTGTCTCTAACCACGCTGGCAGCGGTCCAGTCAAGGCCGCCGGGCTCCTTTTCCCCGAGTCACACCCAGACGCTGCGTGCGCCGTCATCCTGCTGAAATGTAAACTCCACATTCAGCTGTGTTTGTTATGGTTGTAACGCTGTCACAACGTAGCTATAACAGTGGGGCAATATTTCAACAATAATCTATTTGGTCAGCTGTGATGACATCACTAGGTGGTCGACCACATTAGTTTGCTGGAATGATAATGAGGATTATTCTACACACTGTTATTACTCCCTAACACACCTTGACATTTAATACCCAAGTGTTAGCTGAGTGCTTTAAAGTGTGTTTTCTCAGCGTCTGATCTTGACCTCTCTGTTCACAGCGGCCCCATCATTACCGTTTGTGCTGTGATGCTCTGATTTGCAGAGCCAGCCATAACCCGCTGTGTCTTTTAATCATTCAGAGGATATCTACAAAAATTCGGAGTCTGGAGTCACCCTTGAGATCACTGCCCTCCTGAACTAACGGCTATTTACTTTCCAGGGACCAAATAAGTCACCAAGAAACTCTATTTTTATCCCCAAATGACCCAGGAGTCAACCCCAGCGAGGTGTGTGTGCGCGCATGGGGGGGCACATCCTTTGCTTTAATCAAAACGCCGGCCCTGCAGGCTGAACGCTGGTGCAACAACCTTTGTGTGATTAATTTTTTTCCACTCCTCATCTAAGCTCATGTGACCCAAAGTCACCATAACCCAGCAGATTCCAAGAGGATTTACAGTAAAAATATAAATCTATAGTCTGGGGGTCTGTGCAGTGTGGCATCAGTTGGGTGGGTAATTTATTGTGGGGGCTAAGTGTTTCCATTTGCAGTGAGAGCCACTAAAAACAGACTGGCTGTAGGTTTCTGGGGGGCCTGCTTGTTAAAGCACTGATGCAGTGTGAGCTGGCTCTCGGCCTGACAACCTGTTTGCAGAGCTGTGTAGATGAGGCTTTAAAGAATACAGAAAAAAAGTCATCACAGCAATAAAAGAGTCTTCATGTGGGCCAAAGGTGCAACCCTGGAGTGTCTTTTTCTTATTCACCTTAAGCAGAGGGTTAGGGACTCATGAAAGAGAGTACAACTGAGGGCTTGGAAGAATTTTCCGTTCCGTTAGTAATTTCTACTTAAAGCTTTGAGATGAAGAGCTGAGCGTGCAAAAAGTAACATTAATTCTTTCAAAGTTTGGGTGTATTTTACAAGTATTTACATGTGGCATTCATAACCAGTGAACTCTATAATATTCCATTTTTGAGAAACAATGAGCGGATGGTTGCGAAATGCATTAAAATGACCCTATGATATCATGTTTTGACTATGACTACTGGCTGAGCACAATTAAACAATCACAAGAGCTGCATGTGGTCTATTTACTCATTCTTACTGTTCACACTGACTGCTTAAAGCACGCCAAACAGACTCTCAGGGTCTGGATCTACAATGAGCCCCACAAGAGCTCACTAAACAAGTTTTCACTTATTGTCTGGCTACCAGCTAAAGATACAAACAAGCTGACAGTGGGAGTTTTCTTCAATTCGGTTGAAGTCTCTTTCAATTGATTCAGTGTTTTTTTTTAACCTCAGGATTTCTTCTTTTCTCTGATATTAGATGGTCAGCCATGAAACATAGTAGTGATGGGCAAAGCAGTTCTTTTAGATGTACTTAATCACTAGAATTAGTTAACTAAAAAGATCCGTTCAAAAGATTTGTTCACCAAATAACGCTTGGCGGGAGAAGCCAGTGACTCCGAACTCCTGAACTGTTACAGAGCTGAACCTTTTTAGGATTGAATTCATAGCTTTCTTTGAGTGTTTGGCTGGGTTGCTTTGGCAAACAGGTTTGTAAAAATTAACTTGTTTATAAGTCATGATGTTTTAAGTGTACTGTCTTATGGTATGTCATTTATCAGGTCTGCTTGGTAAATTTGGCTCACAGTGAGTGATGCGTTCAGTGAACGTTTAGAAGAATACACACTGAACATGCACCGTTCCCTCACAAACAGCTGCAATGATAGGATGCTGCGGGTTCAATGCACTACTTGTTAAATGCTGTATCCTATTGTATGCAAGTTGTCGTGGTGGAAATCAAGCAATGAAAAAAAAAGGTAGTTTTGTCTGACATTCCAGAGAGTGTAGTTTAATGGGTGATTCGTTCACCAAGTGATTCAGGTGTCGGTGCATGTGGTCCCTCTTTAGCCGGCTGCTTGCCTGGCAATGCTGTTTTTCCCTTCAGCTCAACTGAAGTGAGAAATGAACGAATCACTCAAGACAGTGATTTGGTTCACTACGTTCACTTCAAAGATTCTGTTCTTTTGAACGAATCGTTCGTGAACAACACAACACTAAAACATAGATCTAGAGTTTTGTGTGAATAAAAATCCAACATAACTTCCATGTCATTAACTTGAAGAGGTGAAATCATCAGCTGGTTGCACTGGACTCTGAAAACAGTTATTAATATGGGTACTAAATCACAACACAAATAATAATGATGAATGACAATAAAGCATACATTTGAAGAGAAGGTAAAAAACTAGCAACCTGTGCAGTGCAGTTGTTGTGCCGTGCTCTCAACATGCACTATTAACAATTTGAAGACTGAAATATCCCCCATTATCATTACAGTTCAGTACTTTGGTGCCTTTTAACTCAACTGAAGTCACAAAGAAGTTGAATGATTCTAGTATTAATCACTTCAGTTTAATAGCCTTTGAGCTAGTTCAGGCAGGCAACCCAAGCTGCTCTGACGTAGCACTTTAAATGTGTCATCTCACAATAATCTGATGAATATAGCATCTCAATGTGGCTGTCTATTAACGCTCTGTCTCTGCCTCTGCTTTGCCATTGCAACCACCGCCCTACTGGGCTCATACGTGCTGCCATACCACCCCTCCTGTGTCCACCTGCAGACTCCAGCCACGAAGTTTAGGAAGTTATCTCATCACTCCTCAAGTTTCTGCATGTAAAACAAAATCTGGAAGGAGTGATGGGGTTGAAACCTAAGTGCCAAATACAGCCTTCAGCAACTGCAATAAACATTTCTACCATTATAATGTGAGCTGTCCGACTGAAATATTGCTATGACATGCAATGATGAGTATTTATTATTCTGACCAAATTCCAATGAGAAAATGTCTCCCGCCGTGGCTGTAAATCTTTAAACGTGGCCAATTTACTACAATGAGATAAGAATCGACAATTTTGCTGAAACATCCTGTGCACAAGTAATAAAACTGAGGAAAGCAGCATTAACACAGTGTGTATGCTGCAAAAAAAAAGGCAAGCACTCTAGCAGGCCTTCAGGTAGGTTGCAATGTGGGTTTTTCACCTGGAGTTGATTTGAGACTGATACTACTGTATAAAGCCACAGCCAAGTTTGGTTTGGCCACTCAGCTGTTAACTCTGTTGCACAGAAAAGAGAAAAGTTTGTGAAACAAAGGCCAGAAAAACCAAAGTGCGCCTCATGGACCAAGGAAAACATAACAAGTGCAAGAGAAAATGATATCATCATGCATCTCAGCATCTGGGAAAGTACCGCATTAGCAGCCACGTGGATCACACTCATGATTTCACTGCAGCGGACAGGGATCCGAATCTAAATAATGTATGCCCTGAGAATGTAAATCCACCTCTGCTCGTTGTCTATCAAATACGAGAGAGAGTTTCACCACGCTGACAGACAAGACAAGATGATGGTGTTGATATTTTGAGTCATATCACTCTCTGTTGTGGACTACATATACACCCCCCAGTTGGAATCAAGCACCGTCTTTCCAAGAACGTTTTCTCCCAGTTCTAACATTAACCAACAGGCCTTATTTCCTGAAACCAGAAACTCCCTCAGCAAAAGGAAACCCAGCAACACCTGCAATAGTAAGAGGCCGGCCAGGACGTGAGTCAAAAATCAGCCCATTAGACTGAGACACATGTAGTCCTTACAGTGTATTAGAGGCACAATTTCCTCAATATTTTTTTGATATATTCTAGGTCTGCTCAACATCAACAATTACTCATGAATATATTAGTGGAAATGATGACGGATTGCTAAAATACATTATGAAAATTATGATAATTGCTAGATTACTTTGAGATTTCCAAACAAAACAAGAAAAAAAAGTAGAGAAGTGCTTTGATTTTACAAAAATATAACCAACAGACATTGAAAAACATATTGCCGTGGATGATGACTGTTTGTTCTGCAGTCACATGGCTCTATATTTTGGAGCAAAGTGCTCTCGTAACCCACACATCTTGGCTGCTTTTTCCCAGCAGGAGTTGATTGATTGGCCATCAAAGTTGACACGCTCCTTGAATGAGATCGCTTGCCGCAGAACTATCGAGTAAACAGACTTGGAAGTCAAGGCCAGCAAAATCCCTCGTGTCTCCATACCATCCGTTAGGAAGGCAAAGCCGGATCTCATGTATCTGTGGTCAGACAAGACCGCCACCACTTCCTCGTATTGCAAGGCTGCTCTGAAAACCACGCCAGTGTGCGCTCTGTTTCCCTAACCCTTTTTTAAGGGTTGGAATTCACATAACCATGTGGTTGTGCTTCTGGAGTTTGGGACTTCCAGAATCTCTCTGTTTATCACTCAAATCAACCAAAATAATCAGTCCACAGTGAAAACATTTTCCACCAGGCTGGAGGAACTTTTCCTAATGCCATCGTTAGGCGTCCTTTTACTGTTATCGTGCGCTTTCAGTCTCCCATCTCTCATGGTGTGTTTGTTTAATGGAAGTTATAAGTTTGTGCTAACTGTTGAGTGAGACTGTCAGTCTTCTGTGGAAGGAGTCTTCCTGATTCATAATTGATCACTCATGCACTTGCCAAATCAAATTTGCTCCACTGTTGACGTTTATAGTCTCCTCTTCTAGTGAAAGCAGCCTGACAAGGAGGGTCAGCTGATGCCAACAGTTTCAATGCCAACAGGATGTTATAACAGTGGAGGGTGAAAAGTGAGACGCTTCCACAAAACAGCATGCACGTGGTGTGTGAAACGGCCATCAACATCAGTTTCTAATTTGACATTCTCTGTAGCAATTTGTCACGTGGGAGCTGAGTATGATGGGCGTTAGCTATTGACTTTAAATGAAGGAATACAGGCTAGTTAGAGTTCAGGAGGCTCAGTCTGTTCTGCCTTATTTCTATCACACTAAGTACAGCGAAATTCCTTTAATGCAAATGAATTATGTGTTATTCGCTGGAATGATCATTTTATGCAATAATAATAGTCTCATATCTAGGGATGTGTGAGTTTAGTCATTCGTCGGCACCAGAATCACTTGTTGGTTCAAGAAGTTTTTTATTTTTGTAGGCTCCCCGGTGCAATAATGCTCAACTATCCAGATGTAAACAAGCACAGATGTTAGACTGCATCCACTAGCCTGGTGCTGTCTGGCAGTATTTTCATTTAGAAAATGGAGATAAAGTTTTACATAAGGACCTGAGGCTTCTGCTCTGCAAACATTCGCCTAAACAAACAAATTTGACATTGTTTACCCCACACCAGGTGTGATCCCACGTTGAGCCATGTTAAATAAATGAAGCTGAATTTTGAGTGTGTCCTAATTTTTTTTTTATACCTGCAGACAGTCAGCCAGTCAGTATTTTAAACAGCTCGTAAATGAGTCGCTTCAGAAGTCCCTAATCATGTAAATAATAAAACTGGGGAACAGGTGATGAAATTTCAGTTTTGTTTCCTTTCAGGAATAAAAATTCCCTAAAGCTCCTGTGAGGAACCTTGGGTTTGTGCGAATTTTGGCACCCCAGTGGACTAAGCGGTCTTTGCTTATCTTGTCCCCGAAATGTTGAACTGGCAACTTTTTACAAAAAATCTCATCCTGAGGACTTTTGACTTTTAGTTTCTTACAGCAACTGAAACCTTCACATGATAGTTCATTATCAAGCCACAGATTTTATTCATGATATTTTCAGACACCGTTTGAAAATGATGTTATGATAGACATTTGTGATGATGACTCGCTCACTTTCAAAAGTTCCTTCCGGTACTTACAGTGCCAGTGATTTTCCTTACTCTATTCATTTGTTAACCATAAGAAAGATTTGTGTGTGTCTATTTCATATTTAAAGCTCATTGTATGGATTCATCTACACACTGGAATCATTCCTCTAAAAACATGGGGGAGATATTCATGTTCACTAAAAGCAAGTTCACAGTTAGAACAGACATTAAAACACAGAAATAATTCATGTCAGTCTTTACAGGCATACAGGTTTTAAATAGTTTCCATCTTAAGCAGGGCATATACAGTACATGTTGTCCTCAGGAGGGACTATTTTTCAAAGAGCATCTCACATAAACTTTTCCTACACCTTTCTTTACAGTATTAAGTCCTAGACCTCTTAACATACACATTTACAGTCTTTTTATAATCGTTTTTACTGATGAAATACTTTAATTCGATGCAATACAGAGCAGTATATGGGACATGCATCGTGAAGCTACCGGGAAACTGTGTACAGAGAGGATAGATGGCACATAAAACCTGAGAAAGACGAGTCATCAGGACAGAAATGTTTGTAAAATGGAAAGAAGGGATTCTTTTTTTCATCATTATTAGGAAGTCTATGAAGACACTGTGAATATTTTTCCACCGGCCTTTGCTTGAAAATGATTGAAGTCATTCCTCTTCATCTGTTTTATAAATAAAGGCCAAGGACACAACATGCAATTTGTGTTGAAGTTGGTACAGAGTGAATAAATAATGTTTTTTATGTCTATTTTCCCTTTCACTGTTGTTGTAGTCATCTCATTGTCTCAAACCAGGTTTAGAGAAGGTGTAAACTGTAGTGTCAACTTTAATACATGGAGTGTCTCATGTTCTATCACTGATCAATAGAGGGCACCAAAGAGCAGACAATGAAGTGATCTATAACTGCCACTGCTGATGGGGTTCAATCATCTGAGCGTGCCCACACCTCCCTCTAGAAGACACTGAACCATTAAGCTGTGTGAGTTGATGAGGTTGTAATTATCGTAGAGCACAACTCATCATCACTGATAGGCTAATTTCTTTAGCGACCTTTGATGCACTTACTAGAAATCACAGCAACTCACACCCATGTGATTATGTGATTGAAACAACCACTGCAACAAAAAAAAGCATCTTCAGGGTCCCTGCTTCTTACGCTAGTGTTCCCACAATGTGCCAAACCACCAGTCCAGTGAGGACGATCAGGAAGCTTACTGTGCATTTCTGGAGAAGGACGTGGCGACCTCATGTGTCCTCTTGTCCCCCAGAGCTACAACAGTCTCTTCATGCGGCAGGTGTGCTTCTCTATGTGCATGGTGGCTCGGTCAGTGGAGCTTGTCAGCACGTCCAGAACTTCATCCTGACGTTCCAGCTCGGTTTCTGCCTCCAGGGCGAGATTCTTCAGCTGCATCAGCATCTGCAAACGCACACACACAAACACACAGTCAGTTGTTTAATCAATTATAGAGCAGTCCCCCGGTGAACATGGACTACTGAGGAGCAGGACACATATTAAAGAAGATTAAATACATAGAAGGCATGGGGAGCAGTTGCAGGGGTGGAATATGTGGACCATATGTGGAGAGGTGTAAAGACGGGGTCAGTGAGTTAGAAAGTGAGAGCATAATAAAACAGAAAAGGACGAGTGAGTGAAATTTCACTAAACTCAGATTTAAAGAAAACAGCCTGCTGCTTCATGTACTCAGATGAAAGAGGAACGTTGCCAGAAAACACCAGCCGTGATGCAATGAGAGTTAATCACATGGCATAACATAGTGCAGTATATGCAACATTAGAAGATATTCAGAGGGATGTCTTGGCTTATCTTCTTGGATCATATAATACTATTTGTTTTCAGCTCTCGGAGGATTTAGAGAACTGTGTATGCTATGTGTGATGGAACAACTTAAATACACAGCGATGTGCCAAGGAAAACCTAATAAACAGTCCTCCAAACCCTACCACCATGGTTTCTAAACTAATATTATGTTATGCTACACACACTCACACACCCATTGACATTATGTCACTAAGCACAGAAACAGCTCCGGAGAGTAGTTTGAAAACAGATAGTATGTCAGTGCACACCGTGGAACGACTGTATTCACTCACTCGGGTTTCTGACTTCACAATTTCAAGCAGGAGCACATGATTGAGTCACACCTTGCAGTTCACATTCACGGGAGATTTGGTGTGTCATATAAAAACACAGAAAATGAATATTTTTAGCTGCTGCTTATACGATGGTTAGAGGATTTAAGTCATGTAGAAACCCCCTAAAATTAAACATTTAGGCTAGAATTATTAGAAAAATACATGAGCTAAATGCTTAGTGTCTTGAGCGTGGCTGCTGTAATGTCAGAGTCGTGATATAATAAAAAACACAAACGTGAAACCAAAAGAAATGCTTCGGCGCTTTTATGAGTGAGCCAGTTTTCTACTGTTAGCAGAAGACTAATTTCCAACTCCGTAAACAAAAATGCTCCCACACAAAGGGCATGTTTGCGAAAGCACTTACAGCATGACATTAAACTGAGTGACCCTCTGTACAAGTCACCCAGCTGTAGATCTAATCTCTACATGGATTACAGTAAGAGCAGGGTGTGTACAGAAGCATAGCATTAAGTCCAAATTGGCAGTCTTTGAAGTCTTAACTAGTATCAGCTGTGGACAATATGCCATTTGTGAACACCACAGACAAGCTGACCTGTATGACTGGCCAGCACTGCCTTTTATTAGGCAGCCAGTGTTAACAATGACTCCCCCAAGTTATGCAGGGGAGAGACAAAATAATGTATCAGCAAATTTAATTTTCAAGCCATCAGTCATTACACTGAAGCATTTTTCTCTCCACTGATTTTCTCTAAAGCTTCAGTGAGGGAGTTTGTGCTGCAGCTTCAGTGGATGAAATACCTTTTTTTCCCCCTGATTCTGTCATACATGCAAAAGTCATATTTTTTACAAAAAACGGCAGACTGTTTCACACATCTGGGAATCTTCACCTTTAAAAGTATAAAAAGGATGTAAATAGTCTTAGTCTACAATTTCCCTGTAACATCTGTTACAGATATTGAGGACTACATTAGGGTGACCATATGTCCTCTTTTACCCGGACAGGTCCTCTTTTTGGGGGGCTGTCCGGCCTTGTCTGGGGGAGTTTGTAAAATCCTTCAAATGTCCGGTGTTTTGTATGGAAGTTTTGAGTTCGTGTCGTGTAGACTTACTGAGTTAGAAGTGCGTAAAAAACACTCGACCCAGCCCGAAAAACTCTCAAAATTTACTTTGCGCAACTCTGTGACTGCCCCGCATAGTCGTGTCCTCTTTTTGGGGATTCAGAATATGGTCACCCTAGACCAGTGGTTCTCAAGTCTAGTCCTCGAGGCCCACTGTCCTGCATGTTTTTGATCTTTCCCTGCTCCAACACACCTGATTCAAATGATCAGCTCGTTATCAAGCTCTGTAACGGCTTAATAACGAGCTACTGATTTGAATCAGGTGTGTTGGAGCAGGGAAACATCCAAAACATGCAGGACAGTGGGCCAGACTACTGTAACCGATCACCGTAACCAAGCATCTGATGTTATCACAGTGCGCAACTGTGTTCCCTGCTGGGCTCTCAAGCATCAAGTAAAGGTTTGGTAATATTTCAACGTGTGCAAACAAACAATGTCTTTTACGTCTTCTGTGGATATAAAAGATTTCTGCCGACTTTGCAAAGTCAACTGCAGAATTAACAGCATTCTGAATGAACGGCGCTTTGAAAAGTCCCGCAGCATGTGTTAGATGTCACCATCTACACATGGACCAATCAGGGGCTGCCTCTCACTGTTGTGCGGGGAACAGTGGAAACACAGTCACTGATTGGCCGATTATATTTTGATATCTAATACTCGCTCCCAATTGGCCGAAGTCCAGACTGTTGTGGGAAGGAACGGCAAGTGATTCACACAACTGGATGGCCCAGCCAGGCTAGGTCATGGCACCAGCTAGTAGAGCTTTAGTGTTGGCTAATTAAGTCAGCATTCATTTACTGGTTTAAAGCTGAATAGGGTATTCATCTAACCCTGCTGTAACAAACGGTTAAATGAGAAGTTTCTTCTTTAAACTGCACTGTACTTTACCAGAGCCACTGTGGCTCCGGAGGTAGAGCGGTTCACCAACAGATCACAGGTTAAGTGGTTTTAAACACACTTCTTAGGCAAGACACAGACCAAATTGGAGAAGACCAAAACCAAAACATCTTTGATAGTTGTGCTGTATAATTGTAACTTTTTACATGAAATATCTTGCTCTTGGCTACCTGGAATAAAAAATGTCTGAATCATGGGCTTGATTTGCGTCACTGTGTAGGTTTTGCCACCACAGACCATGTCTGCAACAGTTCTCATGTTGTGCGCTCCTGAATGGAAAGACGCTGTCAAGTCTAACCAAATGACTGAACAGATTTCTTTTCCTCTCTTAAAATCAGGATGGACTTTGGTTTGTGGTCTCACTAAATAACTTTTTAAACATACAGTAAAAAAATGAAAATCGTTATGCTGAATTATGGGTTTGAATAGAACTATCAAAACAGGGGTTTCTGAAATCATAGTTATTTACTGTGTGCGCAGAAATATAAATGCAACTGTAGTGCATGTCATATTTTCACACAGGTCTCACCTGTTTGAGCTCCTGGGCTTCAGCCTGACTGACAGATGGCTGGAGAGCATGCACCTGCAACTGGGACAGATCTCCTGCTGGGACCTCCAGTGGGAGCTCCGTCTCTTGGCACCCTGGCAGCAAACCTGACTCCATGGGTGGAGGTAGTGAAAAAGTGCAGAGTACATATGTTGTTTATGCGGAAACCAGACAGTAAACTCAGAGTACAGCAACTGAGGCAGTCAGGGTGAAGTGACTCATCAAAACACATTTCTGTCAGGGAGAGACACCACTGACCGAGTCCAAAAGTCATGTGGATGAAATGTTTTTAAATTTGGCTACACATCCACTGTGAAACAATATAGAGCTAGAAATATAAACCTGTACTGCCACTTAGTGGTGAGTTTTATACTGAGCATGAAAACAATGAAATAATAATGCCTTTTTTATATTTTCATTGCTTACCTTCATTCCAGCTTTTTCCCTCAGAGTCACACGGAGATGAAATTGGAGTTGCTTTAAAAGAGGCAAACTGACTTGTAAACTCCACCTTCTTTTTGTACTGCATCTCTAAAACTGACAGTGCCTCTGGCATCTTTGCAGATAGGCACCTGTAGCATATATCCGGCTTCCCGATAAAGCGCTGTCTAACGGTGATCTCGTAAGGACTGTGCACCTTGATTTCATCGACCTCGTTTCTTTCAAAACGGTGAAGAAGTTGGCAGCTGGTGTCTCGTACCTCCAGTGAGGACACCAGCACCAACAGGCATCCAGGTTTCAAGTCTGAGTCCCCACCTTTTGTCACTACAGCCGGGATACTTGAGATTACTTTATTTCTACCAGACCCTCTGCCAGCTGCCGCAGCTGCTGCAGCTCTTGCAGCATCCTCAGCCTTTGCTTCCTGCTGAGTCTTCCAGGGGACTTTCCCAAAAGGCCACCAGGAGGGAGATTCAAGCTCTGACAGAAGTCTGCACAACAAAATAAAAAGAGGGAAGAATACAGGAGAATATTTGAGCTGATATATTTCATTGATATTAAAGGGATATTCTGGCGTCAAATAAGGTTAGGGTCAAACACATCGAAACACCGAGTTAGGCACCCCGTCGAGAGATGAATGTTGCCAACCACCTGCTTCTCTATTTATACCAACTTCAGTAACGACCGCAGATAGCAATACAGAGAGCCATGCACTCAACCAAACGCCACTATATATCCACAAATAATGCTCAGAACAGCACCTAACTTCATCAACAGTACATATATGGTCCCAGCCATAGTACTAGCCATCAAACATCTTTTTTAGCTTTGCCTGATTTCTCAAGCAAAGAGACTAAACGTAACTCACCCACTCTCTTCCAGCAGCTGCTTGTTTGTACGGAGACCTCTGGGTGAGTCCATCGACTGCAGCGAGGGGAAGCAGCTCAAGGAAGAACATTTATGATCATTTCCTCAAGAATATTCAATCAGACTGAGACGCTAAGGCAGAAGAACTACCGCATCTGCCGAGCAAAATGATTAATATGGTGATTATTACTTCAAGGAAATGATAAAGTAATGATCATAAATGTTCTTCCTGAAGCTGCGTCACCAGAGGTCTCCGTACAAACAAGCGGCTGCTGGAAGGGAGAGGGTGAGTTGTGTTTAGTCCCTTTGCCAAAGAAATTAGGCAAAGTTAAAAAGATGTTTGGTGGCTAGTACTATGGCTAGGACCCAATATGTACTGTTGATAAAGGTAGGTGCTGTTCTGAGCATTATTTGTGGCTAAAGAGTGGTGTTTTGGTTGAGCACGTGGCTCTCTGTATTGCTATCTGCAGTCGTTACTGAAGTTGGTATAACTAGATAAGCAAGTGGTTGGCAACATTCATCTCTCAACGAGGTGACTAACTTGGTGTTATGGTGTGTTTGACCCCTAACTTAATTTTATGCAGGAATATCCCTTTAATATGTGTGGCATGTTATTGTATTACAGCAACAGCTAAACAATGAAACATGTTTGATATTATGAAGAAATCAAATATTAAGTGAATTACTTATCAGCCACTCCCAGATCTGAGTCAATCTTCTCCAGTCCCTGCATCATACTGTCAAACTGCTCTCCTTGGTGGCTGAGGACTCTGCCAGTGTCCTCAAGTCGTCTTTGAGCCCCTGCCACCAGGCTGATGAGCTCTCTGCCTTTGGATGGTTGACCCTCAGCCCCTCTGGTCTCTGAACTAGGAGACAGGAGGCGTTCTCTCCAGAAATGCTCTAACACATTATAAACCACCACCCTGTTGGGCTTTAGGGAGCCAAACCAGTGTTTCACGTTGCCCTCTTCAAGCACTGTGAGGGTGCTGAAGATGAAACTGGATGACTCCATCTTGATCTCCATTATCCTGGAGAGGCGAAAGCTGGCTAGACTCTCTTTACTCTGGGAGGAGACAAAGCGCAGCGTGGTCCGGGTGAGGGACAGGGTGCCGCTTTCCCATCTCTTCTCACTGTTGATGTAATAGGATCCGGGCCAGCTGTGAATGGAGGTGTCCCGGCTCATCTTCGAAGGACATTCACTTGTGCACCTGTAGGAGATTCAAATAAGCTCCAATAATCCACAAATATTCACAAACTGTTAAACTTGGAATCCAGTATCACATCAAAATACCTTTATTCAGAATATCTCTGTTCTATTATCCAACATATTTTCTTAAAAAGCTGGTGTGGGATGCTGGAAAGGGGGTAAGCTTGTCCAAGGCGTTCACACAAGAAGCTCGAGAGAGAAGCGAGCTTTTTATCTAAAATAACCGTCATAAAATGTAAAATTACTATTAGTTTTTACCGTCTTGTTAGTACTACTATGAAGGATTAAATTCGTCCCACAAACGTAAACAAACGCCACCGTCTTGCAGGGTAAAACATGACGCTACAGCATACTGCGCTGTGATGTTTATTACGGAAGTGACGTTTCTAGAGCGCGGCTGTATCTACTGTCCGACTGGAAACTTGTGCCGTAAAACAGAAAGGGGTTCTGGGGAAAATAGTTGTTGTCGCGCAATACGGCTTATAACACAGCTATTATGAAATTCATAGCGCGGAATCTATGTTTGAACGTTAATAAAGGGAACAGTAAGGCTAAAAAGTAGAATTATGATTTGAAATGCGCGTCGTTTAGGGATATATATGTGGTTATTTTGCTGTCCAATGGTGACAGCTAATCTCGCTAACAGACCTAGCCGAGGTTGTGTTTACCATCATGGACAGGGAGGCGTACCGCAACTGCTGCAGCCTGGCAAAAATAACAAGACAGTCGTATGAACAGTTTTGGTCGTCACATTTCTTAGATTACATCGATAAAGAACTCAGCTACTCCAAGTTTTTCAAGAAATACCTGCTCCCAAACCACCCATGTATGTTCTCAAAGAGGTTTACAGAGGACTGGAAGTGTAGGAAACAGTGGGTGTCTGAGGAGGGGAAGCCTCATTTCCAGAAACTGCTCCAACAGTTTGGTAATTAAATCTATTCTTGCTGCTTTAACATGTACCAAATATTATTATTATGTATCTACTGCAATGAATGGCGTAATGTAAGGTGCTGTAAGGTCATGTCTGTCTTTCTAGATGAGACTCCTGTTCCTGTTGCAAATTGCAATGCAAAGGAGTATAACGCAAACCCCAAACAAGTCATGCCTTTTAAAGAATTCATACAGTACTGGAAGGAATATATCCAGAATGGCCACTCTTCACCTAAAGGATGTCTTTATCTAAAAGACTGGCACATGACAAGGTATCAATCAAGGATTTCATTCATACTTTCATGTACCTATGACAAACTATACTGTGGTTAATCCTGCATTCTTATTTTACAGGGACTTTCCAGAACATAATGTTTACACCACACCAGTCTATTTCTCGTCAGACTGGCTGAATGAATACTGGGATACACTTGAAGTAGATGACTACCGCTTTGTCTACATGGGACCCAAAGGCTCATGGTGGGGAACTATTGAGATAATAGTAAAATAGTGATTATTACTTTATTTTGTTCCTTAATTAAATAATCAGATTTTATATTATTTTTAGAATGTACATAGAACCATATATCATTTAAATTCAAATAAGGTAGAGAATGACAAGGTAAGGATAAAACATGAGGGGGAAAAAAAGAAAAAAAAAGCAATTAGAAGGGTAAACAAAGAAAAACCCCAACAACACAACAGTGTGTCATAAATTTAAGAAATATGTGTCCTTGTATAAAGTATTTTTTATCATTAGCTCAGTCTGGGACCCCCTAAACCACCATCTCTCCTCTGTATAGTTTCATGTTGACCTTTAGGCAGGTAATCCATAAGGGGCTGCCATGTGTCCATAAAGATATCATCATTCCCTTTAATTTGGCACTTAGCCTTTCCATCAGTAAAACTCTTAAAAAAAAAACTTTGCACTACTGAGTTACAGTGGGAGGTTTGCCGCTAGTCCTATTAAATAGTATAGATTTTCTGGCCAAAAATTAGAGTTTATTAAGTCATTTTGATCTTTTCACATCCATAACTCTATTTGTAGGTGACAGCCCCAATAGAAACTGGCCTGGATCTTTACAGATCTTGTTTTTGAATATTGCTGACACTTCCTTAGCTACACATGACCAGAAAAAAGTGGGAGATTTTTAAACAACCTCTCTCTTACTCTGTCACAAGGACCCCTTTCCATGCCGATGTGTTCCGCTCCTACAGTTGGTCTGCAAACATCTGTGGCAGAAAGAAATGGCTCCTGTATCCCCCTGGTCAGGAGGAGTTTTTACGAGACACGCATGGCAACCTCCCTTATGATGTCACATCAGCTGAACTTCGAGATAAGGGCCTCTATCCACACTCTGAGGAAGCATGTCAGCCTCTTGAGATTATTCAAGAGGCTGGTGAAATAATTTTTGTGCCTAGTGGCTGGCACCATCAAGTTTATAATCTGGTAAGATCTGTAAAATTAGCAAATGCACTAAAAATTGTTACCCAGCTTTGTCAAAGTAATTCTATCATTTTCGTCTTGCAGGAAGACACCATCTCTATTAATCACAACTGGCTGAACGGCTGCAACATAGACATCATGTGGCAGTTTCTTCAGAATGAGCTGTCATCTGTGCAGAAAGAGATAAATGAATGGAGAAACACGATGGACTCATGGCATCAGCACTGCCAGGTACTTCAAGTTTTAGACTTCTGAAAACCCTTGCACCATGAATGTTGTAAATAAATATAACAAGTCAATGTTTCTTTCCAGGTAATCATGAAAGCCTGCTCTGGTATTGACTATGGAGAATTTGCTTCATTCCTGAAAATTGTTGCCAACAACAGGATGGCATTCCTAAATGCTTGTTCCTCTGGAGACTCCTCTGATTATCCCAGGCATCTTTCTGAGACCCTCACCACTCTTGGACCTTATCACGCTGCCTTTGACCTGCAAAGAGTGGCTCACATCATTGAATGCCTACTCTGCAATGAAGACTTCAAGCGCCTGGATCATTCAACTTGGACTTTGCAGCCCGAGACTTTGCTGCAGCAAATTCGTGACACCATACAATCCACAAGGGGGCAGCATCTCCTCTATCAAGAATAAGATGAGCCATGATATCTCAACAATGTACCCATCAACTGGAAATAGCTTGAATGAAAAGTGCCAATTTGTATAAATGTTAAGAGATCGTATTTAAGGTATTGCTTCATCTTTGGTTTGAGAGGGATTGCAATTTCAAATAATGCTAGTGAATGTTAAGAGTTTTTTTTGCACTGAATGATGAAAAAGGAAATAAAAACTTGATGGAGTTTGTATTGTACTGTTTTAAATATTTATTCAACAAGAAGCAATGGCAGTTTGGCAGTTATTGATTCCTTTATCTTATATTGTGCTGAAAATAGATCTTTCAAGAGCATAATTCTTTTATGTAGAATAACATAACTATTGTTTAAAATGTGAACACTCAAATCAAAATCATTCAAAGTAGGTTTTTTTTTGCAAACAGAATAACATGTATGGACTGTATCAGACTATGATTAGTGCCGCAAAGCTGTAAAGCAATGACAGTGTAACATAGTGTACTTCAGGGTTCCATCTGAGAGACGTCTGTCAGATTTGATATACGTCACATTTGAGGGAACTGTAAAACATCCTTCTCTTCAGTTGACTTTCACATCTTTAGGCCACCAGTCTGGCACGGCGACCTCAAGTGTCACTGTGGTGTCGTCAGAAGACTTAAGCGTCAATACGTCTTTGGCATGAGCCATACGGATTAGGCTCAGACCCAGATCTCCAAACCCTGAACGGTGCTTCCCAGCTGGCTTGCCGGACTGTGTTTGCAGGGAAGCTCCCTCCTCAAGGTCTTGGACTGGAGCTGACAAGCGTACTGGCATCAGGCGTTTTCGAATCACCCCAGTGTGATGAGTCCTGGCTGTGAGCTCCTGGCCGATGTAGCAGCCTTTGCTAAAGCTGATACCCTGCATGTAGACGAGATTTGACTCCAGTGGTAGGGCCACCCCTGGGGGAAGGTCCTTCACTCCCTCAGGAAGTCCTGACAACAATAACAGCAGAGGAAATAAACTAAGCTTGTCTATGTCAGGAGCACATCTACATGCAAATATACTAACCACGATACATTAAGGGAGAAAAAAAAGTGTTCAAACACATTTTTACAATGATTACCTATTGCATAGCGATGCCGGTGATACTCCTCCGTGTCGCCTTTCTGACATGATGAAATGATGTCCAAAGGGTCAACTTGACTGTCCACCACTAGTCTCCAGCCCATCTCCTGAGTTCGGGGATCTTCCTCCCATGCTAGAGCTTTTTCTGGGGAGGACAGCTCAGGTATGCTGGCCTCCTCTTCTGTCTTCTTGTGCTTAGGAAGCACCGTCCATACAGAAAGGTCCGGACAGGGGTTTACAGTGACCTTTCTGCGGATCTTGTACACCTTCAGGTGTCTCAAGATTGAGTCTGTGATTGTACTGTCACACTCAAGGAAAACTCCTTGTCCTGCTTCTGCTCCTTTTAGACTGAACGGACATATAACAAGTAGGAGCATTATTTGTTGGTAAAACAGAAAACAGAAAATTTAATTTGTCAAAATGAGCAACATAAAAAAATCCTACAGTAGCCCAATCAGTGTGTGTGTGCACCATAAATTCTACTCTCAGGAAGCTTCAATTTTTCAATTTTTGCTAGCAGGATTTGTTAACAGGATTAGAAAAGTGTTGTTCTTTCTTGCAGAAGATGTAATACATGGTGGTGGCATACTGGAGTATGTTATTTTGAAAGATGTTTCTTATATTTTTTCCACTTTGTTAAAAAAACACAAGGATAACAATACACTTTCCAATATAACGCACCCCAGTATGCCACCAATACCCACCCACAACTAATATTAAGTACAATATTCACATGTCAGAACATGTAATGGAAAACTGAACATTTGGAGGCGTTTTAGAATTATCAGTTTTTAGAAGCATTGTTGTACTGGATTGCATTAGACCGTCAGATGTTCCCAATGTTATGGCTGGTTGTTATATGTGTATTAACATATTAAGCTGAAGTAGGCGGTGTCCAGCCTTAACGGATACAGTCCAAAAATTATTTACCCATGAACTGTGATTTTGAAGGGTCTCTTTTAAAAATCCAACCTGATGCAGTTCATCAGAATGACAGGCTAAACCAAAATGAATTTGCAAAAAGAATTTGGATAGCTTAAGTGCTTTTGTCCACACAAAACATTTAAGCAATTTTTCAGCTAAATTGAGAATACCTAATATAAGAAATAGAGAACGCACTGACTCAGACGAACTCAATGTCCCACTGAATCACATTTAAGATGAGTTAGTTTAAAACTTTATGAAGTTATGAGGGGTTTTAGTCAAGATTTGAAGTTTAGAGGACATAATAATGACCACTCCACAGCATCTTGTAAATTTTCCCTTAATATTAAATGAATCTGATGCAATAACAGGTGGATACTGTAAGACAATACAGAAGCTGGACACTGGACACTAACTTTCTGTCAGTCCTAAAATGACCTGTCTCTTGTGAGTGGTGGGGTTTGGGGGTAGGTCTAATGTTTTGGCCCAACTGCCAACATCTGCGTAACAAGATAAGAAGACACACCCTCATAGTTAAGTTTATTGGACAGGGATTGAGCTACTCAGCCTGTTTAGTAAAATAATAAATAATTAAGTGTACTGTACCTGTATAAAATAATGTCATAGAGTGTCCTCCCCTGAACATTGAGCATGTGTGAGTACATGACATTCTGAGCAGGCTCCGCCGCCAGCAGCGCCATGTCGTTTGTTATGATCCCCTGAAGAAACGGACTCGTGTCCTGACCCTGGATTTTCAGCAGGCTCCTGTGAGGGAGGTGATAGCACACGAACTGTCCCGGTGCATCTCTCCCTTTACTCGCCTCCTGGCTGCTGCTGTACCGTCTGACACGGACCCCCGCCGGGACTGGAGCTCCGGAAACGTTCAATGTTACGCACAAATACCGAGCGCAGTATTTTCTGGCGTAAACACCGAGGTAACCAGCGGACATGAGCGCTCCTTTACCGGCACACAGAACACCCATAATGAAGGTCGATGCAGAGTTAATGTTGTCAAAATATAGGGGTTCAGTCTCCTACTCATCGCACCGGTGGACGGCTACATAACACTGCTCACAGCAGTTGACGCCTCCATTTTAAAATCCCAGAATGCACTGCTCGATAACACTGGAAGCCCACGTGTGACGCTGTTGCCACTTTTTTAATTTCCATCAAGATATTTTAGCAATAAAGTGACCAAAGTTAATCACTTAATCCATCCAACTAACCACTTTCTCAACTGAACTGATATCTCGGACACTTGTGTAATTTGTTACCTTAAAAAAGAAACAATTGTACATTTATTTTTTTGACTGTGTGCATGTTAATTTTTTCTGAATTGAGGTTAAAAAATTACTTGAATCGTTGCCAGGATGTAAGATAAACCTGAAAAAGAGAGAAATTATTTTTTATTTAAAAAAAAAAAGATTTTTTTTTGTCAAACCTTTTTACTTTGAATGGGAGATTGTGTATACATAAATGCAAGTGGTCTAAAAAGAAACCAAATTTCCACCAGTTTAAAAATGAAATTACTTTAAAACACTAACTGGACTAACCAATAAGACAGCGATTCAAACTATGACTTTCTATGAAGCCTTGAGGTCCTCTCTATGATCTGAACTGAATCTATGATCCCATTGTCATAATTTCTATTATAACTTATGTATCTTTGTATGCCAGACTCTGGATATAAGGTGTAAGCCTTATTTCTGATCTTATGTACATTATGATTGGATAACTTAATGTTACTTAAATTGTAATCTGGATATTTACTAAGTTGTTAAAAAATGTTAAGAGCACATCAGGATTTCTGAGTCACAAAAACTTTCTTTCTGTATCTGCCTACTGTACATAAGCGTCTAATTTTGGATTTTAGAAAAAAAAGCTTTCCGCTCAGAATTAAATGAAAAGAGCTGGGAGAAAGGTGGACATACAAAAGCAAGAAATCAGAGGTTTTAAATAAGTTTATTTCATCATGAATAAAATATTTGAACAGTCTTAAAACTTTGAGGCACTTTGAAGTTTGAAAACAGTGAAGGCTGGATTAAATATTACTCTGAAACCAATTCTAGAAACATACTGCTTCAATGAAAGAAAACATGCCAAAACACAAGGTAAGTGTAAGAGTGTAGCTAAGGGTGGGGATTTCTACTGTAACCTACAGTATGTGTATACTACATGTTCCCAGTTTTAAAGCATGCATCATCTGTTTCAGATTGCAAAGAATCAGTGTTTATTTCAGAAAATAATCAGATATTCTACTCACTAAACCTTTTCCACTATTGTGAAACTGAAGGATTTGGGAAAGTATAGATAAGTGCTTTGCACGCAATGACCTAAGACCGACAAACTGAGCAGATGTTAAGCAGAAGAACCTACAGCGTCACAGCCCTGTTTCGTAATCTTTATCAAAAGTCTTCACATTTAATCTGCTTTCAGCAACACTCATCCACACTGCATCCCAAAACACTCCCTCGGATATTAAACACACATCCCTCCAACAATCATCTTTTTCAGAAATGACACATTGTGCATTAGTACAGTGGTTTTCACTGCGTTTTCAAATTTGGATTGAAGGTACAATCACACACTTCCAGAAGTTTCTTCATGTTAATCCAGTTCAGAGGCAGTCAAGGGTAGATCAGATAACTAGCTCCAAGCAGTTTTTATACATTGACATTTCAGCTGGAATTAGAGATGTTTAACTAACCACGTAACCACGCGTCCAAAAACTATGTTAAGCATAAGTAGACACACAACAGTAACAAAGAAGATTCATGATACTGGATTTGATGATTCCCTTAAGTGTTTTTCTTTTATATCCCCCAAAACTGTTTACTGTACTCCTTCATTAAGTGTGATTGAAGTTCTCAGTTGTTCTTGTCTTAAGCTGCATCTCACACACAGGTCTTCCAGCTGTGTCACAGTGCAGACTTGGTTCTTAAATTTGTTATTTCAAACTAGATTGACCTCTATATCCAGACAGAGGTCTTTCCATTTTTTACGATGGTTGCTGCCTTCTCGGTGGCTGATTTAGGTCTTGCTCCCTGTTTCTCCTGAACTGTATTAACTCGATTTTGCTCTGCCATGGTGCCCCCAGACACAGGACTACTTGTTCTGGAGTTTTGTGGGTTGTGTTTGGTTTGATAAGTTTGAAAGGCCATATCAAGCTGCTCCTGGGCCACCCGGAGGTGCCGGTGTAGACTTGCTAAATCAGAAGGGATGTTTTCATCCGGGCTGATGCACTGCTGTTCTTGGGCCACGTTGGCAACGTTCTGCTCGTGGGTGATGAGGCTGTTGGGGATCCTGCTGGGTTTCTCTGTCTTCATCACAAGGTTGTACCCTGGTGGGGAGCCCTGGATGTTGCGGGTAAACGGGCAAGCATATGATGTTCGCCGGCCTCTGTTCCTCTTCATACGAAGGGTATCACGGAAGGTGCCGATTCCCAAGTGAAGCATCTCGCACACATTTAGCACAAGACAGAGACAGCTCACCACATACATGATGAGGAGAAAGATTGTTTTCTCAGTAGGCCTGGAAATGAAACAGTCCACTCTGTGTGGACAGGGGATTCTGTTGCATACATATGAAGGACTTACTCGAAAACCATAAAGGAGATACTGTCCTGCAAGGAAAGCAATTTCAAAAATAGCTCGAGACATGAGCTGCAGAACGTAGATTCTCATCAGTCCTTCCTGCATGATTCTTCGACGACCATCATGCTTTGGTGGGTCTCTGCTTGTGCTGCTCACAGGTTCAGCCTTGGCTTCCTGCACCTCCAGTGTGTCATCATAGATCATCGGCTCTGCATCATCATCTTCATCTTCCTCCAAGACATCCTCTAGGTGGTGGCTTTCTCTCCACCTAGAGTGAGGAGGAGGAGGCTTTTTTCGGAGCCTGTTGTGCTTCCTGCGATCCTCCTCTGACGTTCGGGCGATCTTGTGGATGGCGTAGCCCATGTACATGATGGAGGGAGTGGAGATCATGATGATCTGGAAGACCCAAAAGCGAACGTGGGACAAGGGAGCAAAGGCATCATAGCAGACATTGTCACACCCCGGCTGCTTAGTGTTGCAGATGAATTTTGTCTGCTCGTCTGAGTAGATGGATTCTCCCCCAACTGCTGTGAGCACGATGCGGAAGATGATGAGCACGGTCAACCACACCTTCCCCACAAAAGTGGAGTGGTGGTGGATTTCTTCCAGGAGACGAGTGAGAAAGCTCCAGCTCATGTTGTTCGAACAAGCTTTTCAACTAGAACCTGGAAAAAGAAAACAAGGAATTCAGTGAGATTGATTGTTAAAGAATAGATCCGGACTAGAAAATGGTATAAATTTCAGATTAAACCCTTTTTTGTTTATTTGTATTTTGCACTGGGATTTGGTGGTTGACTGGTAATTTTTTCAAGGCTGAAACGAGAGCAGATCAGCCGACATGTAACATCAATAGTACTTTTTAGTTAATTTTAATGAAATAGAACAATTTCCTAATAATAAAAACCATTATCCCACAATCTGATGCACATGGTTATCTCAGATGGAAAAGTGATTTAGATGGATTTTTGACATATTCATTAAATATAAGTACCTATTGTGTTATGCATTAGATGCAAGATAATTACTGATATTCATGTCAAAAGCAACACTAAACAGCATTATCTTACACAGAATAAAATTTATGGTACACACAAGACAGTGACTGTTTAAAGCTGCTGTCAGGACTTTTTGGTTTGTGTCAATTCTGACGCCCCCCTGTGGACAAAGTGATATCTCTTAAGGTTGGACGTGTGAAAGAAGTATTTTCAGACAAAATCCTTATCCTTTGATATCCTAACAGTGAACAGCTTTACTCACTGTTGGTTCCTGTCACGGACAAAGTAAGTTTTCAGCTCACTGTCAATCATCTGATCTGACAATAAACAAACATAAACATTACAACAGACAAATTAATAGCCTTATTATTAGTGGCTTTGTTTGCATCTGAAGGTCATGAAGAGACATCAGTTTCAGCCTGTTACTCAACTAATTAAAAACTCCTCATAGTGCCTTTAAGATAGGAAATGCTGTCATTAATATGTGGGAAATTGTCATTTTGGGGGATGTTAATATAGCTCAACAGCGGCTGCTCTGACAAGGCTGCCTGCAGTGTCAGCAGTCCTTATATGTTTAATTCTTATCAAAATCAGCCTCATCAGATCACACATTGGCGGATTCTGACCATTTCAAATAACATGAATTGGTCTGTTCTTGGCAAGACTGATGAAATCGTCGGTCTCCACCAGGAATCAAATGAAATGTTACTTTGTAGTATGATAATGAAACTTTACAGTCCTCTCAGACTTAAGTCACTTGCACTTAAACATGCCATTTGTTTGTAGTTTTCAAACTAATGCAAGGACATCCGGAGGCTGCATCTAAAAATGATCTTCCAATTTTATCAACAACATGTCCCAAGGCCACGCCATCTTCAAATAGCTTGTTTTGTTTGTCTACCTCTCCGTAAAACCCAAAGAGATCCACTTACCTATCATTTAGGACGAGTAAATCTAACAAATAACTGCTTTTGCAAAGATTGTGGGACTTGGGTCTTAAAATCATTGGTGAAAAATGACTTTAACGAGAGTCAATAATGCTATGAATTAAATTTCTGTCAATAACCTTACCTCACCAAACTCCATTTTATCTCTGATCTAGACTGGGCTCATGAGTAAGAAATATAGCATGTGTCTTTATTGGGTAACCATCAAAATAATTTTTGTTTGTAATTCTCAGTCTTGAATTTTTCTTTATAAATTTATTATACATTAACTGCAGTCACCACCACTGTCATTTATTTTTATTCGACCACACAGCCAAGTACAAGAAAACAGCTTGTGCTGATTAGTGTCAATAATAAAGATTATGTCATTCAATCTTAACACAACATGCCATTCAGACGTCCTGAGAGTCAGAGAAGCAAAAGTAGCAAAAGGAAAATTCAAACGAGTAGAAAGGACATTTCATCTGCAAAGCAAACCACCACCAACATCCACAATCACTTTGATTGTAGCTTTGACCCAAGAACAGGCTGACCACCACACCAGTGTGACAGGCCAAAAACACAAACTAAAGCTGACAGAGCTCTGAATGTAAGAAGAGTGTGCCCCACTCAAAGGACCACTTCAGAAACATACAGTACTCTGCAGTTCAACACGTCATGCCAAAGGTCACACACACACAGACGAGCACACACACAGTAAAACAGATGACATGTAACTTCACAGTGTCAGAGTCACTGCAGACTCGGTGAGGTAAATGAAGCTGCGATGAGGAGACAGCGTAGAGCTTCATGAGGGCAGAGCAGTGGCTCTGTGTTCCCTGGCGTGGGATGTGCCATCTCCCCTGCCATCTGAGTGAACAGGAGAGGCTTGTTGATCTGCCACGAGGCCTCCCCTCCAGATCCAGCCCTGCTGAGGCTCGGGAGGGGGGCTGCCACATGGAGACAGATGGCGTCTATGGTGGGCAGCTCATGTGAGCCTCAGGATGGCATGGCAGGAGGAAGGGTATATGTGCGATTTACACCAAAGTTTAAATGAATCTATCTTCATCATAACATCCTCACTTTATATTAACCATATGAACATATTAGCTTTTTGCCTCAAAGGTGCAGAAATATCTGCCTGCTGTCAAAGCTTAAGTATTTTTTTCGCCTATTATGTTGATTATTTGTTTGTCTTTTATCTTTTCCTTTTGACTTTGGTGGGATTTGTATTTTTAAATAAAAAAAAAATGCAGTTGTTATTGATAATAAAGACAAATCACATTCAGATGAGCGATACTGATGTAAGATGCAGCTGTAAAAAACATGCATAATTCTACTTATAATATAGCTTGAGGTTATGTTTAGTTTATGACTATGTTCTTGAATACAGCATTGTTTCATTACCATAGGAAAGACACATTTTTTATTACTAATAATATTTTCATGTTTGGAGAAACAAAAAAATAGAGAGCTGAATCCTTTTAAATGTCTGCATACAGACCAATATCCACTGCAGGATTTGCTGTTTCAAATGCAACTGTAGATTAAGTTGTGATTTTTTAAGTGTGTATCCAATAGATATTAAAAGTGTATTTTACGGCGACAATATTTTATCAAACTTCAGTTCAGTTACGCAACATAAAATATGTCTAAAATACATATTCAAGAGCTTGCTCACTGATATGAATGCAAGCCTTATATGCCAAACGCTAATAGACACGCATCAAATTGTTGAATTGAAAGCATAATAACTTATCATAATGCAGTTTTAATTACTCTTTTTTTTAATAGCAGAGCAGTCAGATATAAAAGGTCATTGAAATTGCATTAACTTATCTTCCATTAGAGTTTGTTACAACACAGTTTCATTGCTTCCAAATGTTCATCCACAGCGATACTAAAGGACTGTCAGAAGGAGACAGTCTCAATGGTTCTCCAAGAGAGTCACAAACTAAAAAAAAAACAACGACAACCCACCTGGAAGAGTCGTACATGCATTTCCCCTCCTGAAGGTCTCCCATGCCCTCTCTAGATATCCCCTCCACAGTCTGATACATGAGACAGCTCCTCCATCCTACTGTTTCAGCCCTCCTCGTCTTATTGACTGATCCCAAAATGGCAAAAAGAGGAAAACTATTTTAGGACTTTATCAGGCTGAACTTTCTTTTAATCCTGTTTCCTTCACTCTGTGAAGAAGTGGGGTCCTGCTGCTGTGAATGCCTCACATTCTGGCTTGTGTCTGGTTTCTATTACACCAGCCTTCTGCCCGAGAAGGAAGTATAAAAAAATAGAGAGACATGAAAAAAATCGTCCTCTGGCGAGTGACCCTCATCCCAGGGTTCAGACTTGAGGATATCTCTATGCAGATTGAAGCGAACACCCAGCTGAGGGAGCGTGTTAATCGCAACTCAGTCGACCTCCCCCGAACACTCATGTGCAACATTTGTAACACAGATGATGAGGGTCTTTCTCTCTCTCTCTCTTACTTTGTCTCTCCCTCCCTCTTCCTCTCTCAACACCACACTCCATCTTTGACTCTCGACTCCTCGCAGGTTAAAGCCTTCATGCCCCACAGCCATCCACACAGAGCCAGAAGAACCTCACTCTGAGAGTATTAGGTTAATGGGAAAAGTCATATCACACTTAACACACATTTGTAAATACTCACAAAGGCCTTCTCTCTTTCTTTGTAGCACACATACAAACACAAACCATTCTGGGAGTGTGGTTTAACAACCTCTATATTGTCTGTCAATTGCATAACAGTTTACAGTGTGTGACAGTTATGAAAAAAACAACTTTAGGGAGACAAATACAGGGAGTCTGAGGACAGAAATGTCACAGAGACATTAGCCACCTTGCCTCAGTGCAGATCCGCCAGAATATAACCAGCAGGTACACTCCGTCATATCAAGTGTCATAATATTTAGATCTTCAATCCAGGCAGATGGCCAGATAACAGAGCAGTGGACAGGTCACACTCTGCTCTCCTGTTACACGTCTTTTTTGAATTTTGTGCTTATTTTTAAACCTATAGACCTGTGGAGTGCCGTAGCACACACTGTGAGTTAAAGGCATATGTAGAGCGGACTAACATGACAGCAAAGTGCTTTCTTGCACACTAACTTGATTAAATCTTCTGTTTAGTCTGTAATGACAGAAAAAGCACAGATGAGGAGGTGATTCATGCAGGATTAAAACCAGAAAGGAATTTCCTCATTTCCTTCTTAAGGCCAGATCTTGCTGTCAAGTTTGGAAAGAGATCTAAACTGCACTACTTTTAAAAGCGGACAGATAAACGGTGAGAGTCTGGCTTGCATTATTGAAAAGTGTCTGCTCATTGTCAAAGTGACCATATGATTATTACAGGGCTTTCAATAACCCTCAGCTATGACCTGTTTACAGCTATAAAAGCAAAGAGTAACGTTCAACAACACAGGTAAGGCCACCATCCGTTAACCGTTCTGTAAATGATTATGAGAATTTGCTCATTTCCTGTCTCCACATTAATTATGAGAGTATGAGACAGACTTAGGTGGGTGGGAGAGCTAAGAACTTCAGCGAGACATGTTGAAACAGACCGTACACTCACACGAGAAGTCATTTAGATCTTATTTAGTCTGATTAGCTTGTGGTCTGAAGAAAGCTCAGAGAGCCAGCCATCTGGGCCCTGCAGGATCCGTCCTCCTCTGGCCTCACCTCCGAGGCTCCCCTCTCAGTCTGACGGAGGAGATGTGGCGTAGCGAGCACCCCTGGTGCAGCACCGAGGAGAAGGAGACAGGGGATGCTTCTGGAAAGACTAGAGCATTTGGGGTTTGGACATGTGCTAACCCTAAGGGACGGATATGCACGTGTTTTTAAGTTCTAGCACATTTTATTTCATCCAAAATCTCTCCGTCCTCAAAAAAGAAATAATCCGCACAGATGGTTCAGAGGAGAGCGTTCTTAAGTAAACGTTTCACTAAAAGTCACTGAGAGTTGATGTTCCTAGACAGTTGGTGGAAGTTGCTGTCATTCACAATTAACACATATGGAGGTTAAACTTACTCTACTGTAAGTAAGTATGTAGTAATATACAGATCCTCAACATGAATGAAAGCATCAAAAGCAAAATAGTTTAAAACAGTCTATAGAGATCTCCTTTTACAGTCATATTTTGTGATTAATCCAACTTGGTTTGTTTTTTTTGTAAATTTGTATTAGCTGCCTTTTGAATCTTTTTGAATCTACCAAAAAAAACTCTTACATTTCTTGAATTCCATCAAGAATAATAAAAAAACATTGCTAACCAATAATAAGTGTCTCCACACTTGACTATTTTTTTTAATTGTTAAAAATAGATTTACATTTATGTGATAACTCCAAATTCAACAAAGAAAGCTGTTTGACTACATCTTTGAAAGTGCTTTTAAATTTCTGAACAGCTTAACTCAAAAGTGCACAATCCCATAGAGGCAGTGACTTTCTAGTTTGTAAATGTTACTGTGTCCTCGGACATCTCAGGCTATCCTAGCTTTGGGAAACCGCCGTTCACACTGATAAATATTGATTGGACCGCCGAGAGCCAGGAAAATATAACAGCTATTCCCTGTGAGACATTGTTTGACATTGCTGTTGTCACAAGGACAGGCATCATGTGATTGCCAAATAGGAGTGTTTATTATTCATAAGGTCAAAGTTATATTTAATGTTAAATAAAATGGAAAAAAAAAGAGGTAGCATCTGTGAGGAAGAACCAGCTTTGAAAAAATCCAGTGTGACAGCTGACAAACATGACAACAAACTCCACTGACTTTTAAGATTGAATTAAAAAAGCTCTGCATTAACTACTTCATATCTTAATTGAATTCAGTAAAATTTGCATATTTAACTTCAAAAATATTGAACTCAAGTATTTCCTAATTCCCAGACAGTTTCACCTCTAATAGGTCAACGTGAGCTGTGAGGGTCTGAAGCGTAGCCGAGTGCTGAAGTGATGCAACACAGAGGAGTGAACATCTCAACAACTCTCCTTGGCCGCCACCAATGTCATCACAAGAGTTTTCCCCTCATGTATTTACTGAATAAAGTTGATGCGAGCAGACTGGGGGCTGTGGAGGTCTGCATTTATGTAACAGATCAAGCTCCTACCATGTGACTTACAAGTCCCCCTCCTCCCCCCCTCAAGAGGAAAGAGTGACACAAGACACCAGAGCAAAAGCATGCAACTTGGTGTTTGGACTCCTCCTTTCTTTCTCCCTTCTCTTCTTCTACTATCATTAAGCTGTTCTCATCAGGCTGCGGGGGGGCTATCCCATAGGCAGCCTGAGAGTGGTGGCAGTCCCATCTCATTTGCTCATTTTTCTCTCAGTTTCTCAGCTGAGCCTATCCTACCCCAGGGGAGAATGCGCCCCGTGCCAGTTTTACTAAGGCTGGACTCCACTGAAGCGACTGAGATGAAAAGCCTTGAGGTGGATGCCAACAACTTCCCTCAGCTAGGGCTCTGTGTCTCCTGCATACAAGCTAAGTAACTTGTTTGGAGTTGCATTACACTGTTAAAACATTACACTCACATACCCAGTGCAATGATGTTTTAATACAACTTTTGGATTTGGTGGACTCGCAAAATTTGGTTTATGTTTTGTTGAAAGTATAAAAGGAGAAATCTAAGAAAGTGTAAAGCCTGTATCTTTATACATTTGGGTCCACATAAAACTATAAACACATGAAATTGTTACATTGATAAGTTCCAGCACTACTGCAGTGACGTTAGCTGGACTTTGAACGTACAGTTTATACAGTATAGATAGATACTGTGCCTGAGTTATCAACCGACAATGATGCCAAGGATATATGTCACATTTTATGCCCCTATTATATTTATCGATGGGAAGTCAGTGCCACTTGTATATGTATACCATTGTGTCATAATACCACTCTAATGTAGACTGAGATTTTTTTATCAGTGTGCCAAGTTTATCATTCACAGGGAAGTTGTAAACATGGGAAAAGTTCAGCAGTTTACAGTGACCTTGACTGAGTTGCTACATGATAAGAGGTATGAGGCCAAAGAAAGATGGCACTAATAAGTGCTTTCATTTCTGCCCCACCTGCAAGTTTTAGACACAACTGTCTTATTTCAGCTTCTAATGTTTCATTTTGAGGGGCTGTTTGTCTTGCTTGTAGTGGATGAAAAGATTAGATAAGACGGAGTGACAATATTATAAAAATACTTAATAAATCTGTTTTGGTTTCAAGCCTTGCTGAAGTGGGAAAAGCAGGGACAATTCCCTCCAGTTTGCTTATTAGCTTTAGGACACCAAGGTTCCAAAAAGAGACATGGTGATATAAGAGAAAACTTGTTACTTTGGTAATTAATTAAAACAGAACAAGGATCACATAGTTCAGACTCTGCTGTTGTTGTTTTTATTCCAATAATAATATGATTTCTTTGTGATTAGTGATGATTGGTTTGTTTGGGCTGTTTTGAGTGAAAATGTCATAAAATTAATCATTTACAAGGAAAACTTATGAGAAGCTTTATGCATCTTTTAAACACATAAGATAAATTCACAATACCATTTGATTTTTTTACTCTAATCATTTAGTATTAAGCGCAAAATACAAATTATTCTTATGGTTTTATTCTCTGCTATAATTTCCACTCTGTAACTGTTAGGGTGGTGAAACCCAACACAAAACAAGCCCTCCAAACAAACAAAATCACAGTGCTTTGCTGCAGAGCTGGAAGGCCTTAATCTTTGACATTATCTTGTCTTAACTGCCTGTGTCAGGGACATGTCTTGGGCAGGCCCAAAGGAGCAGCAGACCTAGTCAGGGTCATTTGGACTAGCAGAGATGTGTTTACTGCAGCTCCTTCCTTCTAGACGCCTTTGTGCTGTTGCCCTCCTCCAACTCAGTGAACTCCAGACTCTGGTAGCAATGCTGCAGGACCCCCTGTGATAACTGCAGCACAACTCTCTCTTTGCTTATGCAACAAAAGCTCTGATTAAAACTGCACATATGCATCCTCTGTTTACAATACTCTGTACTACTTTACATGTGACATTTAAATTAACTCCATCAGGCCTTAGAAATAGGTTAGAAAACAATCTGCTGAGCAGAAGGCATTGTTGAAAATGAATGATGTCTGTTTGTTAGTGAGGATGTCTTTTTCCACAAGGTGGCAGTGATGTTTTCAGCCATCACTGACACTTCCCAACCTCTCACAGACGTGTTGAGAATCTGTGACTTTCACTGAAACTACCTGAGGTTAATGACCTGTCTGGGGTGTTTTAACCACGTGAAAGAATTACTGTTCTGATACAGGGTTCAATGACCTAGTAATCCTGGAACTTAAGATAACAGAAACATGACTACACATGAATCCCTGTGCCACAGCAGCTGAGAATGGCCATGGAGTTTATTTTTTTTATGCACTGTAAACTCATGATAATGACTTATCATTTCATAAGCTTGATATAACAAAGTTCGTTTCTCATGATAAGGTAAAAGGTGGTTTAGCCAACCTCAACGGTAACTCCTAAAAAAGCCCTCCAGATGCTCCATTTTGTGCATCACACTTTCAACAATTTGCACATGGCAGTTAAATGTGTCCACGTTGAAAGTGTAATGCGCAAAATGGAGCATGCCGTCAGCATTTGCATTGAAAACCCCCATAGATTTATACACTACATACACTGTATATCTATGGAAAACCCTGACTTGCTGTTGAAAACGGTGGCTGTGACGTTTCAGAAATATCCTAATCTGGAAGGTGTTTTTAAAAGTTACCTTTAAGGTCGGCTATAACATCATTTCTTTTATCACGAGAAAAAAAATGTCGATAAAATAAACTGTTATATTAAGATGATGAGATAGTAGTGCAGTTACAAATTGAAAAGGTTCTGAATTGACCAAAAGTTATTTGGTTACAATTTAACAATCCACTGGAACAACGTGTTGACCACGTCTATTCAAATATGTTATCCCTTCTTAGTACACATTGAACTTTAGATGTCAGGGAAGGAACAGACCCTTCATATTAACAGGTTAAAAGACTGACTGCCAATATCACGAGATAAACAGCTTTACATAATCAGTGTTCCAGTCTGGCAAACAACTAAATTTCTATTTTTACCTGTAGATTCCTGTGTAATTTTGGGAGGATTAAATGCAAAATGTTTGAAAAAAGTCAAGGGATGTAAAAAATTAAATTCCAAGAAACATTAAAAAACAACAACACCAGTTTCACTTGTGGAGAATATGTATAGACTACATGTAGGCAATAGCAATCAGCAGGGTTCTACCACTGATTTTAACTCTAGTGAAGTTCCCTATGCTCATTTTAGTGAAGGTGCTGGTAAAAAAACTCAAGCTCTTGTTAATGCATAAAAACAAACAGCTGCATACCAGGACAGCCATCAGCAAAATCCACAAACAGAAGGACAAAAAAGAGCAGTGTAAGGCTGTACCTACCTGTCCATGTGGATATATCAGGGACTTTTTCTATGCTTTATGGTAGGTGATCCTGGGCGAGCATCCAGAGGCATCGTTTCACTGCTCAGGCTAAAAAGCAGGATGAGAGAGACAATGGGTCATTTTTCTTCAAAACCCCTCACCACCAAGTACAGGCAGAACGCTCAGGAGACCAACATCCTGCCAAAGGCCCCATTGTTCCCCAACCCGTCCGCCTGCTAGTGATTGTTTCTTTCATTCAAGATGACTTTTACTACCACCCCATTCATGCAGCCAGGAATAAACAGTGACGCAGACCCCAAGACCCTGACTCTTTTGGTTATGTGATCGTCAGAATTGCTTTGACGAAAAAAAAAACAAGAGAGTACAATCATAGTTATCATTAGAAATGCACATTGTTTAAAGTTAATGTTAAACAAAAAAGTATCCAAACTCAAGTGTGCAATTGTTTATTTAGCCTTAACCTTTCTATCGATGCAAGATGTGCCAAAGATCTCTTTTATTTCTCAAGGTCTGGAAACTTTGTGCGGATGTAGAAGACTTAGTCATTTTCGTATGACAACGCTTTCCCTTGTCGTTAATATAAACACTTTTTCAGTGCCAAGTTTGACTTTTTGTCCTTTTTGTAAAGTGCTTTATACACCTTCATTGATGTTCACAGATTATTTCTTGACTCTGCTGCCCCTAAACTACATTAAATGTTGAGAAAGTTAAAAAGATAAACTGAAAGTCTACTTTCAATTGTTTTATTTATTATAGGGAATGGAATGCAGATTTGAACAGAGTAGAGGGGAATTAGTCACCAGCCTCACCAATAAATCTTGCAACCCATAAACACTACTGAAGTGCAACACAATAAAGATTTATCATCACATTCCACTTTTTTTCCAAGAGGACTTTATTTTCTTTCAAACATCTGTGTCGCATTGTTGCTCTTTAGCTGTTGTAATCCTAAACAGGACATGCTTATATTTGCTGGTCTCAAACATGATACAGTCGTTCAATGTGTTTGTGCTGCAGCGATCAATCTATATGTTTGTCCTTGGGGGATCAGGGGTGGGGGGGTACATGTGCCATAAACAACAATATTCTGAAGAGAAAGTGGGTCACTAGTTGATAGTGAACTCTCACTGTTTACACTATCATCAGGGCTTTTCATCATGAGTGTCTAAGTCCACATCTATGTGCAACTGTCTGGTAGTATAATGGTTTTCCGTTGCACACACCTACTCATGACTGTGTTCCAGTTAATACAATGTGATGAGAACAATTTTTAAGTCTTTATTTTGAAATATGAACACTCAAAAGACAATCAATTATTTAAGCTTGAAACTGATCCCCTACTTACCACTTTATTTTCCAATCATCTTCTGTGAACACTGTTTTTTTAACGAAGACTCAAAAACCAGAGGGAGTGAAACAGAAAAGAAACAGAGAAATAAAGACCTCGATAAAAAGATGTACGTCTGTGTGTCAATTAGTTACAAGGAAAAAGAGATTAGAAATCCAGTATGACGTAGAGCAAAATTCCGGCATTTGAGCAACACATCTCCCAGTTTGTCTTTAGCCAATGAGCAGTCACGTTTCCAACTCCCACAAATGCATCAGCTATCATCAGACTATCCACTTTATCTGAATCAAACAAACATTCTCAAGTCCCCTGAGGAGTCCCTACTTTTGGACCACTTTGTATTTCCCTTTATGCTCCAAATTCACAGTAAATATTGTTTCTCTGTCTAGTTTTAATCAGAAAACACATGGATTTCCCTGTCTTTAAGCAAAAAGATGCAAAATCTTGGTTTTGGACTGTTGTGAGTAAATGAAGAAGTGGATAACTTTTGATACAACTTGAAACTACAGAGAATGGAGTCCTGCTTTTTGAGAGGGGATGGAGGGAGATGCAGACAGAGACAGTTGAGTAGAGATAACAACATCAGTAGCTCATACAGATGTACAGTTACACTGCCAGAAATAATGGAACAATAATATAAAAATAGATAAGGCACTAAAAAACTGAAGCCACCAACAGGTAAATTATTTAGATAAAAATGCTTAAGAGTCTTTTGCAGTTTTGTAAACCTTGAACATTGAGCAATGACGATAAGTGCGGCTACACCCATATGGTGTATCTGTCTCGAGGTGAAAAATTAACCCAAGTTAAAATACTACAAGGGCGTATTTTAACTCCCCTTTCAGAAAGGTTGTCATTATCTACAGTTTTTATCATATTCCTGAAAAAGAGAAGATGATTTCACTGTTCTATTCTTCTGAGAATAGATAATAATAGCTGTGCTTAACCTTTGGTTTTCACATACAGCTAATCATATGTAAGAGCTGACAGTGGACTGAGATGGATGAGAGACGTGCAGTATTACCAAACAGCAATCACCTTGTGATATTATGTTGAAAAGATCTCTTTGACAAAATACTTCAAAAATTAAATAGTATACGTCTGAAAAGAGCAGAAAATCCTTGCTTGGTTGTCATTGTACACATTGTAGTAATACCAAATGGCTCCTAGTTTTTCTTGGTCACTTGATCCACATTGACAAGTCTACTAGAATCAATGTTTTTAGGTTGGGCTAATATTTGACAGTGTATCAAAGGAGTAGATAAAACACATGACCACAGAAAGAAGTTACACCCTGAAAAGTTTAGATATTTTGTTTCATGCAGGGAATTTAGTGTCTTATTTTTGCAATTAGTACTGGAAAATTCCTCTGAACTTCTTACAACCACAGCTTGTAAGTTGAGTTTGTGCAAGATAGTTACTGTTTACATTTCACTCCTGCACAGAACATCAACTGCCAAAAGTACGCATCACACAACCCTCATGTGACACTCTAATGAAGGCAGAAGAGTCTGCCGAAACATGTCAGGTAAGAGAAGAAAACATCACTGTCTGATACAAAAGAACGAAAGAAAACTGTTTACATTTATGTCAGTGCAATGTAATACTAGTTTCAGTTTAGTCCAGAAAAACTGTCTTCATGTTGTTTTATGTTGATACTAAAAATTCAAACTCAATATTGAAAGGAGCCATTTGAAGAACCTCTATTATGTAGATTGAGGTGGAAACTAGAAACCGCTCAAGGTCCATAGTCTGTACTGCAGGATATGCTGGTGCTTCATATTTTATTTGGCAGGGTTTTCTGTTTACCTGGCCATACGCTGAGATAAAAGTGAGACCCTTGAATCTTCATGTTTGCACTGAGTTCATTTTCGTTCAACAGCTGAATAATAACAGGTCAAAAACAAACCCCTTGGATTTTTTCCCAAGGTTCGCTACATGTTACATCTGTTCCTGGAAAAGGTCTGTTTCACGGTCTGCCAAAGTAGCCTCATGTGGAACAAATCAGTGCCAGATGTGAATCTGTAAACTTCTGTGTTAGGAAAGCGGTGAAGGTTTTAAAGCACATCAAAGCAGCATTTGAGGTAAACAAACATAGTGTGACAGTGGGTTTAAAAACTTTTCCAAATGTGAGATTTTAAGGCTTTCTTAGTTCATCCTTGTAAGTTGTATAACATGTTTTGTGGCATTCACTTTATTTCAAGAAATTCTTTACTTATTGTGGGACAAGGTGTTTTGTTAACTATCATCATTTTATATAAAAGCACTATTTTTAAGTCTGAAAGAGAAAATATTGTAAGAAATGTAAAGTGTGGCATCAGTATATATTGGTAATAAAATGTCTGAAACAGTTAAAGAACCGAAACTCAGAGAAGTACTTGGGTTGCAAATAAGCACTTCTTATCTAGACATACAGATTCAGTAATCCATCTCTTTCTACGGCCACTGTTGAAGATAGTGTTATGTGTAAAAAATCACACCCACAGCAGTATTTGAGGTTGATAACCACTTCTAGCTTTAATCAGGAGGGTAAATGTAAAGCCTGATATACAACACAGAGGCTGCTTTAAAGAGTGATACATTATGCTATAAACTGATATGTCACAAAGCACATCAGTACAACAAAGTTTAATTGAATAAAAATGAGAATTTTGTTAACATAGAACTGATTATCTGTGTTGTAGACAAAAAGTAAGCAATGACTGACTATGTTGTGGAAAAGGAGCAATAACTCATAAATTGTAGCTGCTGAGAAAACTTGAAGCTGTTAAAACACAGTGCCGATTAGTGTGCAATTACATTGTAAAACAATGAAGTCAGGATTAAAGGCATGACAGCCAAAACAAGACCTAACCATTAACTTCTAGTGAAACCAGTCCAGTAGCATTTCATTTATGCACATCCTGAAACAATGATTGTTATCCAAACTAACAGATTCAGTCTCAGGCAACATGTGAGAGCAAAGCCATAATACAATCAAAGGAATGATATCTTTCCTCAAAAACAAAAAAGGCGTCCTCAAAATATAAATTCAATCAATTTAATACATTCTCAAATGACAAAGTGCTCAGTATCTGTACCTATAATGATTTCTTTCCTCTTGTTGCATTTCTTCTGAAGTATGTATTTTTACTGTCACTATTTTTTAATGGTCATGTTGCAGTCCTTGATGATTAGTTCAATATCTAAGTCTGTATCGAAACTGAACATCATTCTGGGGTTGCATAGATCCAAAACCCCATCGTCTGAAGTCAATTTCTGGTATTTCCACATCAGGATCCTTCAGCTCAAACTCAAAATAGACCAACATGAGGAAGACAAATTGTTTCAGCTCATTAGTGGCAAAGAAACGCCCAGGGCACATGGAGACCCCGGCACCCCAGGGCATGTTGTAGAACTTCACTTTCTTCCCTGCTTTGTAAAAATCATTTTTCTTCGAGCCGTCTGGATTCAGAAAGCGGTTGTATTTGAATGACTGTGGTTCAGGGTGGATCTCTGGATCAATGTGAACAGAAATGTAAGGAAAGAGTGCAACTCTGTCACCTTTGCGAACAGAGTACTCACGTCCATCCGCCATCTTGATGGTCATGTCCTCGATCACTGCTCTAGTCAGGAGGGGTGCAGCGGTGAGTCGCAGCGTTTCTTCCACAGCGCTGTCAAGAACTGGTGTTTTCATCAGCATCTCATGTGTCAGGTCGAGCAAAGGACCACCACGTTTGACTTCCTGCCCAGACTCCCTCACAACCTTGTCCACCTCTTCCTTCACAGCAGCCATAGCTTCTGGGTGCTTCATGAGAAAGAGAAGCAGCCAGAACGCAGACGGACCAGTGTTCCCCTGAGAGGCCCACAGAAGAACAAACATATACCTGTCTATCATTGTCTCACTTTCACCGACCCCCTCTTTGGCCTGCTGCATATCCCACACCCAGCGACTGATGTTGTCCTTGATCCTCAGTTTCTGCACCGACAGAGTGTTCCAGAAGTATCCCAGGAGTCTCTCTGCCTCCATCCTTCCACTTGGTGTCAGGACACCGTAAGCCAAGTTTGGAAACAGCTGGTCATATTTACGAAACTCATAAAACAGTGCTTCTGACTCAGCCCTGTCTTTCTCTTTAGCTTTCTCCTCACCTCCTTCTGATTTGTGTGGCCAATTACCATATAAGGACAAGTAGCCAGCTCTGAAAACAATGTTGTAGCTGTACATGAACAGTCCATCTTCCATCCAAGTCTTCTGGGCTACATCTGAATCCATGGTGTTCAACATCAGGTTCTGCAGATTACCCATCATGGCTTGAGTCATTACCTGCAGGCCATCCCCTTTTAGGTGCTTGTTGCTGGAAACCTGGAGAAGGGTATGGTCACTCTTGACAGCTTTGTAACCAAACACTCTGTGCACCAGATGCACAGCAAACTTATTGAAGTCCAGCTTTTCTCGACTCTCCTTCACGAGTGCCCCAAATGACAGAGGGTCCTGAAAGAATGTAATGTAAAACCCTCCCAGCTGTATTGTGAAAACATCACCATGCTTCTTCATCATCCTCTCCAGGAACTTCAGTGTGTTTCTACGAAATTCCAACACATGGCCCAGCCAAGGGATAAGACCCTTATCCAGAGGAGGCTCTCCTGGTCTTCGTTGTCGAAACACCCCCAGGAGGTACAGCCCTCCAATCAGAGCGGCAAGAAAGCCCAGAAGGATCGGTAGCAGCAGCCCCATGTCTGGTTTCTCTGTGAGCCACACAGGGATTTGGAGTGAAGGTCCAAATCCAGCATGATAAAGAGTGTTTTGCTCCTCCCCTTCTTCCCTCCTGTAGTTTCCAGGAATTCTCAACCTCCCTCTATTTAAAGAAGAAAGAATCATTTGTATTCTCTTCTCAGCCTCTATGACCTGCTTAACCCATCAAGTTTTAAAACAGTGCACTCGGTACTGTTTTTAATAAATGACAGTATAGCACAAATCCTCCACATGAACATAAATAGAGAAGATGCACATGACTTCAGTTAGTAGAGTTACTCATAGTCAGAAAGTAGATAAGACGTGACTGAATGTCTTTAGAAAGTATTTTTTTAATGTTTAAAGGTGTCAATAGTACAAAGTCCCTGATAAGGAAAGCACAATGTTTGTCACATGCCACTGCATTTGTCAATCAAAAGCTCATGCACTTCGCAGAGATGTGGAGTGAAGTTTTAGACTGTGTTCATTTATTAGTCCTATAACTACTCAAAGTAATATCAGCAACAAAAGTGGCAGAAATTTACACAAGAGGACTACTTGCAGTCTGTTTCTACCTCTAATATTAGCTGTTACAGATGAATGTTGCACTGAACAGCAGTCAAAGTGATCATTAAGGGTATGCTTACAATAAGGTTCTTGTGATTGTTATTGTATTTTTTTCTATCATATCAAATTTGAACATTAACAGAATTTTCTTGGCATTTCAGTCAATGTATTGCTCAATTTTACTTTGATATTGCTAATAGACATTAAGCAACACCTCTATGTAAAACTGAACAGTCAGATCAGTGGAATGATTGTATAAAGTGTCGCATTTTTTTTTTTACCCTGATTCACAAGTATTGGTTGTACTTACTAACAAATTATTTATTACAGTATTTTTATCACACCATTTGGCAGCAGAGTCTTGTAAACCAAACCTCAGCTTTTACTTCAGAAAAAAGTCCAAAACAAATGTATTTAATCTCTGCTGAGTTTTGATCTGTCTGATAGAGACAAGTACATGAAACATTAAAGAGGCATCTTTGCTTTTCTGGAATATTTTATGTGTTTTCATCAAATAGTTGTATGCATCTAATACACAAACAGAAAATCTAATGAAGTTTTTGTTACAGTATAAGCAGTACTGGTTTCCCAACTTTCACTTTTGATTAGAACATTTTAAAAGTAAAAACGAAAGTGAAATAATCCTCCCAAAATTTACCGCAACCAGATGTCAATTTCCATCTTATTTCTTCGGTATACACAATGGAGTCATCGACTTGTGTTGTCGCTCTGCCAAGTTGTATTAGTGGACCAAAGGCGCCCCCTGCTGGATTGCATGAACTACTTTAAAAGCAGCTGTGGCTGGACGCTAGCTGAAAGTCTGTAGTCTCATCCCTTATTTTTTCTTGCCTCATAAAATGACCCAGGAGTCAAGAGTAATATGTAAAGACATGGAACTGGCCAACATCTGCCAATGTGATATGAGGTTATAGATGCCACAGCTGACTGGACTGATTTTTTACATCTCAACAAATGGAGTTTGGTAAATAGGAACAAAAGACTGAGCTGAAGTGTATCATCTATGAGTCACAGACTACAGTCCTGGTCTAGCATTGATCTCAAATGTAAACTAAGGCACCAAACACCCCCAAAGCCCAGAAGAGAATCTTAGCTTTGATTTTTACATTACAGCATGAAATTTGCACTGTAAGAAATGTGTCCATCATACTGAAAGATATAGCCTGTTTAATTTCCCTATGTTTATCCTGTTCCAGAGCTCAGTTGCTGACACTCATCATTGCGAATTAACGTAACGCTTGAGTGTAGCTGTTTTGCAATGAGCACTTATTTCACAAGGCTCTGGATTCACAGTTTATGCACTTGTGTTGCTCCCTAGGGGAGTTTGGTTCACCACACCGTCAAAGGTCAAGATAGGCCATGAGACAGGAAACTTGGTACTAGAAGCAATCATATTTATCCAAGATCTGGTCGGGGACTAAAATGACCAGCAACAAAGGACAGGTAAATGTTGGGTTTATTTGTCCCTTATAAGGATATTTTCCAGTTCATAAAATCATAATTTGAGCAAATGTATCTCAACCACTTGCTAGACTTTTTAAACAAGTTACTTCAGACAACCAACACCTCAACTCAATATGTGGTTGTAAAAATAAAAAAGAGCATGACACCATCTCATAAAATGTGTCATTTTGGCTTTAAAACACTGCATTGGTTGAGTTGCTGAGAGTTACAAAAATAGAAGATTGCATAATCATGGCCCTGAACTCTTGAAACACCAACAGTCTGCCAATACAAGATGGAAACTTTTCAAAAAGTATTAATTTAAACCAACAGTCCAAACAAATAACTGCACTTGTCCAAAACTTCTTAAAATTTTATAATTAGTTTTATTCACTTGAGCTTCTCTTGTTTTCTTTTGATAGCTAACTACAACAGTGGAAGACATTACAGTTCTTTAACATGTGTGCAGCAGGAAAAACTGGTAAATGTACTGATGTGCTGAGGCTTGAAATATAGTCTCAAATATAGGCCTCATGAAAATATTTCTAAAGCACACACATCTATACATACAGTCACACTATGTGTATGTGTGCAAATGTGAATATTAATTCTTACACTGTTGCTGCTGTCAAAATTACTCTAATGTTGACCTTAAGTACTAGCTTTTTTAAATTACTCTTTCATCTTTGAAAAGGTTGAAAAAGGAAAGAGCTAGCGTCTCAGCAACAGATTCACAATCTCACCACTGGGAGGAGGTGTGTTTTTTTTTTCCTTCTTAACAGACCAGCTAAAGTGGTCTGGTCTATTTAAATTAAGCAGGTTCATTTTGAAAAACAGTACCACTTCCTTATCCCTGCACAAGTCAAAGTAAAGATCTGCAAAATCATTGTAACATTAAAGGTGATGGGTGATAATTTACAGTCTTAGAGTATTGAGGAGGAAACCAGTTGACACTGAAAAAACGGTGGGAATGAATGTTATTATTGGTAAATCAAATTCTGTTTATAAAGGGTTGTCTGGAAGATCGATGACTATTGTTTGCAGCAGTCCTTAATTCAACTCTGTTCTTTGATCTACAGCCCATCATGGCCTGCTGCAAGCTAAGTGGGAACAGATACTTGATAATTGCACAAATGAAATGCCACATGCTCACTCGTCTTCAAAGCTGCTTTTCATTTATATTATTGGAGAGTAAACAGAAGCATCCTTTTTTCATCAAGTTTTGTCAAGATACCAAGGAACTGACTTTGTCTGGTGTATTTTTATGCCTCACAAACAGGGATGGACAGTCATTAATTATATTTACTTGTGTGACATTATTTAAGTTACTTTTTGTGTACTTTTACATTTTTAAGTAGTTCCTGAAATCAGTACCTTCACTATAATGTAAGTATTTTCAATGCAAAGTTTTGCACTTCCCTACATTTTACTTAGCATCGAAAAACTCAAGTCAGAGTGGATTCATCTTGGCTCTTATCAAATATCTCATTATACGTAAAATCAGCAACAATGACATGACAGGTCCATATACAAATGTCACGTCAAGATAGTTCAAGCCTCGTCCCACATCCTTACTTTTTTGGCTCTCTGCTCTCCAAATACTCACGATTAACTTACTATCATCACATTCTTCAAAAAATAACCTGCTACTATTTACTACAGAGATTAACTGATAGCTTTTCCTTTTCAGTCAAAGATTCTATCAAGTACTGCTTACTTAATAACTGTTATCCTAAAGGCATGTTCTTAAGTTGATAACTCATAAATGTTAAGTTACTCTAAATGGCTTTACCATATTATTATAAAGTACTTTTATTGGTGTCTAGTTAATTACAATAATAATGCACACAATTTTTCAAGTAGCAACAATGTAAAAAGAAATTTGTTGCTCCAATTAAATTTTCTTCAGTTTTTTTTCTTCTTTTTTGTAGATTATATTTTATAAATAAAAGCTTTCAAGAAAGACAGTTCAACCACTGCTTTTGCAATCAACTTATTCTTTATTATGTTGAACTATACACCGTTCCCCACCGTGGCCATGACATAACCTGTAATATAATAATAATAATAATAATAGACTATTATTTCATTAAAATTATTTTGAAATCCAAACTTAAGTTATTATGTTACTATTGTAACCAAATTTAGATTGTCTCTCAAAAGATTCGTATTTTTGTTAGGCAAGAAGTAACGCGCTATTCTTCTCCTGCACGTTGCAGAAACGTGCAGTAGCGAGCCCCCAACGCTTGAGCCCACCATTACGTCATTTCATAGAGCAACACGCAGATCAAGAGGATTCCCTGATAATTACATCCGCTTTGTTTAGCAGACGCTTTCAATGGGTCTAATGGAAATGCCCGAAACGCCGAGAACACCCAGTGAACGATCTCATTTCGGTTTTACTATCTTTGGTTCGGTATCAGAGGTACAGAGGTGTCGTCCGATTGATGCTGCCTTCAGGACACGTCGGATTTATCAACACCATCATCCTGTTCAATGTAATCTACTCACAAGTGTCCTTCATACGTATGCGATCTTATTATATCAAACTGCTCTCACGTTCAAGTCACGCTGACTTGAATTTTAACTGATACATCAACTAATAGGTGGAAATTTTATATTCATGTGCTAGCTTTAAATTATTAAGAATATTCTTATTTATTGTTATTATTAAAAAAAACAGTGACTCTTAACACGCCTTTAACAGTGTTGAAATCTGGACATTTTTACAATAAAAAATTTGGTTGTAGATTTTCCGAGGTTACTTGAACATAACATGTGACGACCCGGCGACGTCAGACTTGCGTGCAGTGGCCGTTACATCACGTAGTAGCCGGCTATTTCCTTCATACAGTGCGTGTGTGATCTGACCTCTCTCAAGACACGACAAGAGATCCCCTGGATAATTTCTTCGCAGGCGATTTCACCAGCAGCTCACTCCTCAAACAGGTAAGAGTTACTCCAGCCTTTGTGGTGATGTTCAAAGTTTTGACAGCTGTTATAACCACCGTCCTCGTCCTCATGCTCGGTGGTGTTTCTGTTATTTAATATTAGGCCTTTGAACAAAATGTACACCGATGGTAACAATGTAAAAGTTTCGATTGCACATGGATTTATACATAATTCAAAAATATCAGATTTTAAAGTTGTTTCGGCTTGTAAAGGGGTGTGACTCCTCTCTGCCCTTCATGCGTAACCTCTAAGCACTTCATTTGGCGTTGAACATTGAGTAACAAACCAGCCTGGCAAGATTAAAAACCGTGTTCACAAGGTATCAGCAATTTTTACCCATAAGTGTGACACGGGACCTGAGTGAAGAGTTTCCTTAATGAAACACGGTGTCTGCTTAATATGCATGAGTCAGCATGCTTTGCTTTGCTTTGGCGAACCAAAATAAAACCAGAGAATCTAACTTTATTTATTCTTTTCTTTTCAGTCAAAATGTCTGATTATGAAGAAAATGACTCCAAATTCTGGCGTAAAGCAAAGGAGAACCCCTTCGTCCCAGTCGGTAAGTACATCATGTGTCCCTTAACGTTACATCATGGGGGAAAGCTATGGGTTATATTACAGACTTGATTACGGTTGTAGGAAAGTAGTTTTGTCAACTTAAAGTTTATGTGTTTTTGTTACCCAACTTGTCACCCTCTTTTTGTTTCAGTTTTTCGGCCATTGATACTAATCTGTCTTTTTTGTCCGGTGTAGGAATGGCTGGATTCTTTGCCATTGTTGGATACAGACTTCTAAAAATGAAAAGTCGGGGTGACACTAAAATGTCAGTCCACCTTATTCACATGCGTGTAGCCGCCCAGGGCTTTGTGGTTGGAGCCATGACTCTCGGTATGTATTTCTGAATGACACATATCGAAATAGATCTTGTTTTTTACTTTTGGTTTCCACTTTTGGTTTGGTCGAAAGCTGTTTAAATACGAGTCTGGGTTTTGTCTGATTCCTTTACAAGCATTTTATAATTCCCCCTTTCAGTTTCCCTGTACTTTGTTTCTAAAGTTGTCACAAGGAAATATGACTTTGTAACTTATGATTCTTTTCTGTTTTTAGGGGTCGTATATACAATGTACAGAGACTACTATCTCAAACCCAGACAACAGGAGAAAGCAGTGGAACACAAGTAAACATGAACTCTAGCGCTTTCATTTTATGGCCCTTAATATTACCTCATATTAAGGTGTATAAAACCTTATTCTTTAGAGATGTGTCATAATTTTTGTATGCACACGTCCCTTCACAACCTAATGTCTACTGTACATATTGTATGACTTGTTGATTGCAGTTCCTATCTTTTAGATAAAGCTGTCAGTTCTGTAATGAAAAGGAGGTACATTGATCAGCTGTATTTGTACTGAGGGAACTCGGTGTGTTTGCAGTCAGAGGGTTAGTCATTACTGGAGACAGGTGACATGACAGAGTTTTGTTGCCTGTCATTTGAATAAAACTATGAGCGCCAAGCAGTACCAGTTGGTTAAGCAATGATATAAATGGCAGTCGCAGGTAGTGTCATCAAATCGTCTTCTACCAGCTGTATTTTACTTACTAATTCAGCCCCCCCCCCCCCTTATTTTTGCCAAATCAAGAAGACTTACATCTTAGGCCATTTTTTAAAATTAAGATGCCGAATATTGTTGGGTATGATTCTTGAGGCTTTAACAACATGCGTCTTATAACCACAAAAATTAACTCATCGAGCATGAGCTTGACCCACAGAATGTTTTAATTAGTAGAGAGTACTCTTAATGTCTGCTGTGTTGAAGAATAACAAAATACATTTTTACACAAAAAGTGTTTCAGTTTGCAGTCATTTAATAAATTAACTCTAAACACCATGTCCTATGATCATTTTATTATCATGCTGTCATAAGGCTCCAGGGTCCAAAGTTTCATCACATTAGCTTCAAATCCAAATGAGATGTGCAAACTGACGTTCACCTGCCAGCTGTGCAATGTAAATATCAGCAAATCTTGTGATCTGCTAAAATATTTGCCTTTTTAAGTTATTCACAAAGTTAAGTTGAGTTGTGTGGATATACAGAGAAATATTTTTGAAGGTTTTTAAGTTTTTCTTTGGAAATAAAATGTACTTGTCTTGTTCTGAAAATGTGTTGAATAAACTTTTAGAAACCTCTCCCAATAGACGTGAAATTGTCTCTTTACTATTGCACCTCATTTCTTACACATGCCGAGATCGTGATGCTTGTTTATGCATAACCTAACCTTGTAAAACCCATCCTAGAAATGATCAGTTTGAGCAATTATTTAAACTCTCAGTAAAGTATTGGATGATTGAATATATTCATTTTGTTCATTGTGTTTGGCTTTAGTGAGGGTTACCTTACATACTGGTAGGAAGGTGAACAAATTCTCTGTTTGGGGGTTGAACTTTGTGCTTGTAAAACTGAGTATAAGGAGTTTCGGGCTTGTTTTATTGTACAGGCAGGTATCTAGTCCAATTTCAAACAATAAAACCATTACATATTTTCAAACTTCCTCTCACCACTCCCATCAAATAACACTTATCTGCCATCTCTACTGTGTTCCTCCACCACAAGATCTTGTTTAAACAGGAAATGCATTATCATATGCCAGATACCAGAGTCCACTTAAGGGTTGTGTCCTCGTGATTTTGGAATCTCAGTGTTTGCAGTAGACCTATTGCTCATCATGAAGATGTCAGAGAGTGATCTTGAAATTCAGGAAACAACTTGCAATTACTGTCTGGTAACACAAAACGTTTGGCCACTCCTAATCGAGGGCAATGCTGTCGTTCGGGCCTACTTGCTTTGTCAGTTCCAAAGTTTAAAAGTTCACACAAAAGAAACAGACAGATTTGCAAAATCATACTATCAAAGGTGCTCTTACCTGAAAACCTGGGTGAAGAAATGACTGGGGTACTTCAGCTTCTACTCGAGGCTCTATCAAATGACAAACATCACATCACTTTTCTGTCTATGGGCTTTTTTGTTACTAACAACATATGTGGACTTGTAATCGTATTTAATATTGTATTGTATTGTATTGTATTGTACAGCCTGCCAAAACACCAGAATCTGCTAAGATGAATTGACACTTCGCCCTTACCTGTAACAGTTTGGCTCGTCTGGCGGATGTCTCCATCTTGTGGTCAAACGGGATATTACACAAAGATGAGGGCCTGACTACAGAGTAAATAGTTTCTTTAACTTCACTAATTAATGTTTTAAGCATTATAAGTGGTTGGCCGCTGGAGTAAATGTATATTTGACTTACATTTGTGGTCTAAAAGAACAACATATAAGCAAGGCTACACTCGTTAATCTGTCGGTATTAAGCTAACTGTAGTTTTTTGAGTCCAAATGAATTGCACCTTTTAGTTTACTATACTGCTCTTTACCTGCCTTGTTTTCCTAGTAAACTAATTATTTTAAGTTTTACAGTTAAATAAAGCACAACCCGTCTCAAAGTAGGTTGTTTCTGAGGGGTAAAGACTGCAATTATTCTCAACAAAAATAACAACTGCCCAACTAGTACCTTCGAATTCCCACGGCTACAGTCCTGCTCCCGCGAGATGTTCTCGAGCAACGAGCCGACCGTTGCCAAGGATACAACAGCGTCGCAATTGGAGAGTCTTTGAGGAGAACTACACTTAACGGGAGCAAAAAGTCGAGTAAAAAAGGTAAGCCTTTTTTTCTCCATACAACCATAACTATAAACGTACTTGTGATACGGAGTCAAATTACCAGGAAATAATAACGTAAATCATATCAGAAGCTAAACTGTCGTCGCGTCGTCATGACTTAACCTGCGTAGCCAAAGTTTGTCCTGGCTTATGAATGGTAGACTACCAGTGGATAGATAGATAACCACACAAATAACCTTAAGCCACGACTGATAACTTCTAAACGAAGTCCTAACACACCAAGTAAGAGTAACTTTTCCTGTAAAAACAAACAAGCAAAAACAATTAAGACATGCCAGGGACTGTGTGACTTTACTGCACTGAAAGTCTCAAAATCAGGTCAACGTGTGACTGTTAGTGGTAGACCTATAAAAGACCAGACTACAACAAAATCTATGCTTCTACCTTTGCTTCCTGCAGTTTTCTCCTTCATTAGACTGTGTGTTTATTACTTTCTCCATAAATGTAGTAGATCATGGAGCCTGAAGACGAACTGAATGATTTGCGGCTTCAGTTTCAAGAGCTACAAAGACAACAGGAGAGAAGAAAACTGGAAAGAAAAAAGGAGAAAGAGGAGACTAAACTTAATACCATTATCACACATGATGATTTGGATTTATCTAAGCAAGGAATTCAGGAAGACAATCTTGAAAACAGGTGAGTAAAAGGGATTATAGTGTGTGACTTGGTGAATTTGGATAGATACTCAACGTAATAACTATTTTGGCAGAGTATTTATTAAGGATGCACCAATCCGATATTTGGATCGGATATCAGCTCAGATATTGACAAATTAACTGGATCGGATATCGGATGAATGACGCTGATCCAGTGTTCCGATCCAGTCTTTTATTTCTTTTAATTAATTTTTCTTTTAATAGATGGAAGTCTTACTTCTTTTTGCTGTGTGCTAATGGCAATTTGCTATTTGTTTATAAATAATATGAAGTAAATTTATATCTGTGTTGACTTGTTACATTTTTTTTAACAAGGCTAATGTCAAGCCTGATGCCTTCACTCACAGGGCAAGGTATACAATTTATTCATTCAACAGTAGTATTGAATCGGTATCGTATATTGGCTGATATGCTCAGCCCAGGTATCGATAACAGATTGGATCAGAAAAAAGTAGATGGGTGCATCTCTAGTATTTCTCAATAATCTTTTTGAGCAATTGTGATTTTATGGTGTATTGAATCTCTCTTATGTATCGCTCTTTTTAATAACTCAATTGTAGACTGCTACAGAGTGAAAATGAACATCTACTGGACCAGGTGAGGGGACTCAGGGATGAAAATGGTCGGCTCATTAAGCTTCTCAATGAAAAGGATTTTGAAATCAAACATTTGCAAAAGAAAAGAGAGGAAGAGCGACAGGCTTTTGCAGGTACGGTACCTTATTTGTTTTGCACCACAATGGTGTAATTTTAACACCACTACTTCCTTATGACTCATCCACTTGTCCATTTAGGCACATCAGGCTTAGAAGGTGATAAAGCAGCCACCAAGATTGTCGAGCTGTCCAGGAAGAACCGAGAGCTGAGTGCTGAGATAGCAAGAGAAAACATCAAATCCAAGCAGAACAGCAAAAAAATCAAAGATCTTGAGAAAGAGGTGAAGTTTTGTGCTGAATGAACCGTTGAATTCCACTATGTGGATGGAAATTTCTGTTTTCAAAACACTCATGTTTGTATCTATTTAAGCCATACTAAGAATATTCATTAATTTTTCTCTTTTCGTAGCTGAAGGCTGCTTTGATGAACCCTCCACCTGAGCAAAAGTCTGACAAAAAGTCCAAAAATAAGAGCTCACCTGTGGACTGTGAGGTAAAGAGAGAAGATTAACTTCAGAGTATACTTCTTTTTTTTTGTTTTAACTTAATGATGACACCATAACCCGAAAAATTTTTTATTTTCTCATCACAGCAAGAAGATCCATTGGTAAAATCTCTACAGGAAAAACTGGCTGCTGCCCAGCTGAAAGTGATCGAGTATCGCAACCAGGTTCAATCTGCTAAACAGGAGTTGAAAATAGCTCAAAAGGTACAGCATTACCTTTATTTAGCCTTTGATTGCTCAGTAATTTTACAACATAATAGAGATAAAAGATTATTTGGTAGGCCGATAGATTGGGCTGGTTATTGGCTCATTTAAAAAATAGCTATCACACTGGTATCAGCTGACAAGGTTGTTGTGACCATCATCTTTTTTTGCATGATAACAGGTTTTTCCCATCCTTAATGACAGCATGTCAAATCTGAAATATCTATCAAAAGTCAATGAACGTTTCTATTTCATGAATTAATACTAAGAAATTAATCTCAAACATGTTACAAGATAAGCCAACCATGTGTGTTAAAATATAAGTGCATGGAATAATGCACTTGTAATAAATTTCATCATTCCATGCACTTATGTTTGGCTGGCTGTGGAAAAATGAGTTCGAATACCTGGATTTTGAAAGCATTAAATAACACTTACCCATTCTGCCAAAATGATTTAGGCTCATTACAGCCCTTCTAAGTAACAAATGTCCTTTTTCCTTTCTTTGTCAAAGCTTTCAAGTTATTGATCACCCTGGATATCAGAAAGGAATGTCAACAAAATGCCAACCCCAGCTCTACTATGATTAACAAATAATCTCAACAAATCTGTGTTAATATGAACTGTTAATGTTGCTGTAGGTTTTGATCAGTGAAGTTGGAGAGGAGGTCAATTTCCAGCAACTGCTTAGCTGTCCTGGGAGTTTCAGAGGTCGTTCCCAGCAGATTCTGGCTCTTCAGATCAGGGTAAGGAAGACTACCACCATAGTTTGTAATTCATGATAAGGTTTATTTCATTAAGAAGATTGAAAATAAGGGCTGTGTTTAAATATTAATGAAATGGGTTTGTGCAACAGGTGAGAGATCTTGAGCAGCAGCTGCTGAATCAGTCATCCCAGCAAAGGCAGCCGAGTGTCCTGAGTGTAGAGGAGGAGTTACTTGGAATGGGGACCCTGAAGAAAACCCCTCCTCAAGACAGGAACCTCAGCCACATCCGCGCCATGGAGAAGGAGAAGAGAGAAGCTTTTGAGGTGTGCAACCATTAAAGGGGTATTCGGCGTAAAATTAATTTAGGGTCCAACACACCATAACACCGAGTTAGACACCACCTTGAGGGATGAATGTTGCCGACCGCTTGCTTCTCTAGTTAAACCAATTTTAGTAACGACTGTACAATAGCAATACACAGCAGTCTGAGGAGCCATGAACAAACCTAAACCAAAACACCACTCTATAGCCACAAATAATGCTCAGAACAGCACCTAACTTCATCAACAGTACACATTGGGTCCCAGCCACAGCATTAGCCACCAAACATCTTTTTAACTTTGCCTAATTTCTTTAGCAAAGAGACTAAACACAACTCACCTACTCTCTTCCAGCAGCTGCTTGTTTGTAGCCAGACCTCAGGCCAGTCCATTACAGACTACAGCGGGGTGACGCAGCTCAAGGAAGAACATTTATGATCATTTAGGGTCACATTATGGTGTGTTTGACCCTTAATTAATTTCACATCGGAATATCGTGTAAGTATTAACAAATTGGAATATTTATTTGTACCTTCTACGGCGCCCTTTCCACATCTGTGCAGAGGATCTCGGCGGACCATGAAGCCCTCCAGAATGAGCACGAGGATGTAAAGAAAAAGCTGGAAGCTTCAAAATCCAGGAACAAAATTCTGTCTGCTGAGATAAAAACTCTGAAGGTCCAGATCTCCACCCTCTTCGAGAAGGGCAAACATGACGACGAGCTTGTGGCTGCTCTGCTGGTAAGGCATGATCGTAAAGTTCAGAATCTAGTTTACAGGTGTATATCTCAGCCAGACTCAGTGTAGTAGGAGAGTTACAGAGTATGTTTACTTACATTTTTAATGATTGTGTAAAAAACCCTGTACTCTTTTTTTCTTTTGCATCATTTACAAGAATCTCTGCTCCTCTGTTTACTTCCTCTGACAGAAGCAGCAGAGCCAGATGCAGGAGGTTCTGAAACGTCTCAGCCAACAGCAGAACATACATAACAAAGAGACCCCAGTGACCCCGAGACTCCAGCAGAACAGCGAGTCTTCAGAGCAGAGCACTCTCATTAAGAAGCTCAAGGAGGCAAATGCCCTCAAAGAGGCTAAGATCAAGGAACTGGAGGCTGAAATCCAGCTGCTCCCTGTCAGAGTAATTGAAATGATATGTGAACTAACGTCGCTGAAGCTTTTTGTCTACAATGAAAATGTAATTAGTAAGTAATAATGATGCAGCACTTACATGCATTAAATGTTTGCAGCTTTTGCAGGAAGAGGGCGGTGTAAGACAACCCAGTCTCAGGACAGCAGACTGCAGTTCAGGGCTTTTACCTGAAGAGGGAGACAATTACAAGAGGATGTCGTCTTCGGGGTATGTTCACTAGTTCTTATCATGCTGAATAATAAATGAAGTTTGATGTTGTGTTTTTGTTGTGTTTTTACTGACATGCAGTTCCTCACCAACAACCATTGAGACTTTTGACATTGTACATCTGCAACTGGAGCTGATTAAGGAATTATTGTAATCATTTTTTTGTGTTATTTGATACCTCACAGCAGTGAAAGGTTTTCTGTTGGGCTCTCAACTGCCTTTTTTTCTTTTTTGTTCAGATCTTTCTCTAAATTTGGCCATAAACTAGTGCTGCCTGCTGTTGGAGGCTGTATAGATATTCAAGTAAGTGGACATACACAAACCCCATTATAGCTCTACGCTGATACACCTGTGACATATTTGCTGATGTACTGCTGCGTGATGAATTGACAGCATGAATTATGTTTAATGCTGTGTCTTCTGTCCTTGTTGTCTCTCTAAAATGTGAACCATGTTCAGCTGATTTGAGTGCACAGATGACGCATAATCAGGAATATAACACACATTGTGCAGAGAGGGATAGACAGGTTGATGCACAACATTAAATATAAGATTTTTCTTCCATATTCTATTTCTGGGAACATGTTACATGCTACATTTCAAAATACTCAAAGCCCTGCACATGTTTCTTTTTTAGCATGATGTGCATGATTATTGAACAAGTTTACAGCTCCAGTTCATGTTTATGTTTGGTAGAAAAAAAAAAAAAAAAGAACTTCAAAGTATTTAGTCTGTATCACAATAAATAGCTATTTTGTCCAGCAGCCTTGTAAAGTAAAGCCAGTGCAGAAGTGAAAAAAACTTCAGTTTCTCTTACAGCTGGCTGCAAAAGAAAGCTACATGTAGATCCAAATACACCTCCTCTAAAAAGCCCATCTTTTCAGCAAACATGTCAACAGCATTGTTCAAAGGACGATTTTTGTCTGAAGAACCCATTTCTCTTTCCACACATGCTGCGCAGGGGGAAAATCATCTCAGATCATAAGTTTTAGAAATATAAAATTTGGGGGTTTTTGGGGACGCAGATGACTTGACTGATGGGTGCAAAACATCTGTTAGAGAAGAGGCTGAAAGCTCACCTTAACTGCACCTCTTTCCTCAAGCTAGGTTGAATGTAGTTTGTTTGATTCTGCTATTCCGATATGGTGACCACCATTGTTGGGCTTTAAACTTTACTTCAGTGACCAATGGCTAATATCACTGAGATTACATGCATGTTTTATACCGTTTATGAATTTTGCTAAGAGGCATGAGGTGGAGGTCAAAGCAATTTAACTTTTATTTCTTTTCCTTCTCTGAAATGCCACTGCACATAAAAATGTGGGACTACTTTATGTAACTGAAAATGTATGTTATGTAATTATTATTTAGTGTATTATTGAAGTCATATGCATTGACTTTTTTCCCCACAAAATGCAGCTGAAAAAGAGTGACAGTATTTATCAGGATTTAGCCTTTCAGCGCCAATATTCACTCACAGTTGTGGAAAGCACCACTTATCTCTAAAGCAAGCGCACTTTTCATGACTGAGCCCAGCTGGCGCTCACAACTACAGAGCCAGAGGGATGAAAGCTGAAGGGGCATGGTGCTCCTCTAGCATGGGTCTCAAAGGTCAAAGATGACATAACTGGAAAATGGTTTCATGGAGAGTAACGTCTCAACCCAAAAACAGCATATTAAAAAAATAATAATAACTTGATGTCAGAGTCCATTGCCCTAAACATGAACTCTTGTGTGAGTCTTGTGTCAGAAAAACAGAACAAAAGTTGGTCTATAGCTAGAGTTGTTACTCCTTAGAAGCCACATTTGTGTATTTTTTCATAGCAGAGACAGATCGCCTAATAACCAAATGACAAAGGGGTTATTTTCATCTTTGAGTACTAATGGTAAATAGTTAAAAACTAGTTCCAAATGGGATTTCACCATAATTTGATTTGACTGAGAACTATCAACATGTAATTTTTTTCTCATTCTAATTAACTACAGAATTTTTCTATCTCATGTTCAAGATTCCATATTTTGTCTTTAAAAGCAGTTTTTGAGTCAGTATCAACAATATAAAGCAATTCTTACCATATGTCTGAATTGGGAACCAAATTAATGCAATTAAATGTACCTGAACCCACAGTGTACTTTCATCTGCAGGTCTGTGGCCTTTTGCACACTCAAAAAAGTGCTTTCCCAGCTTTTGTGACACGCTTGTCCACTGACATCAGTCTGATTAGTTGCATCTGCATGCTTAGCTTGTAGGTGGTAGCGCAAACTCAAAGTGCTTGGCTGATATTCATTCTGTCTGACACAGAGTGAATATTACTTTAGACTTTTCAAGCGAGCCATCTGGGAGTTGTTTGAAGTGAAATGTGCCATTTAGAAGCACAGCGGCACCTTTATTTTCAATCATGGCATTAGCCGAAAGCAGCAAGACACTGCGGTGAATCAACTGCAGGGTCAAAATAACAGGCTATTGAAATACATGATAATTGTGGACCTTCATAACACTGTAGTTAATATGTTAACACTGACAGTTCTAATTTAAACATCTTTTATAATGAAAACAATGCTTGGTCTTCAGAAAGTATTTTGCATCAGGTTCATTTTATATTCAGTGGGATAAAACTGAAAATGTTTACTGTGTTTTCAGCTGTATTATGAGTTAAATCAGTAAATCTAACCTTTCACGCGTCTCAAGTTTCATAAATCTGTCCAATCCGTCACCATCAAGAAGACTGTCATCATTTGCACTTTTGAGTAACTATTGGAGACCTTGAATCTTCCAGGGACACAGAGATGAAACAGGAGTTTCCAGCTGCAGAACTGAAGTACCAGGAGGCACACCACATAATGATCCTGGAGCAGCAGCTGGAGAGGACAAAATTAGATTCAAAGTGAGGACTTTTGAGCCAAGGCCATATGACAGCTTGGTGTAAGAGTTTAAAGCAGTTTCATGTTATTAAAATATTTTTTAATCGTGAACTTCTGACTCGTCTGTCATGTATGTGGCAATGGTAATTGTGTCCTTTGGGTGCATATCCCTTAGCACAGGTTGGCAGAAGTCTCTGAGCAACAGTAAATGTCCAAAGACAAACAAGCCTGTTAGAACATTTTATTCTCATCTTTTCAGCACCCTGGTGTCTTATATTGGTTCTGAAAATAAGGAATATTTTCAGTCTTTCCTAGAGTTAAAAGGTACACCAGACCACAGAAAAAATGATGCACGTCAACGGTCTCTCAGCCTAGAGAGCTTAGTCTGGCCTTAGTCTGTCCATGTACAGAGACGCTAATGCGCTTGTACTGTATGTTGTCTCCTGGTTGGTCAGTCAGCTTGTGGAAACAGAGGCGCTGAGGGCACTGCTAAAGAGGGCTCTCCACCGTGACCTGCGGCTCGGCTGTGACGTGATGAGACAAGTCAAGCGTGTTTTTTTCCTGCGGGCTCTGTGACAGCCCAGACAAGACACTAACCAGGGAAACGGGCTGGTTCCTGCTCAGCCTCACGTCCAGCTGAGCCCTACCTTCTCCTGTCACAGTGACAAAGAGCAGGCTGCAAGAAACAGGCTCCCCTTTTCTGCCACACAGACATCATATAGATCCCTCCAAAGAGCATTTTTGATGGTTCCTTTGTGTGTTTGCCGGCCTCAGTTTAACTACTTTAAGCACCTTTGATAGCAGCGGTTTCCGCTAAACACTGATGGTATCAGACAAGTGCTCCTGCTGGTTGCACAAATATTTGATGCTGACAGGATGTCTCCCTGTGGTTTTATTTATTTGCTCGCTGTTTTATAAATGTCACTGTCACTCATTATTACATCTTTAGATGTCTCTCACTGCGGGGACTTTTAAGCGTATGACAGTTAAAAGAGGAACAATGACTCGTTTGAATGTTGGGGGGTTCATCTTTCATCCAGTTCTGTCAATGGAAAACAAATAAATTCTACTTTCTAAAATATATTTCGAACTTCCTGGGCTGTATTTTTTTTGACTCCAGATGGTTGCCGTAAATCTCTGAATGGCCAATCCAAACAGAAGAAACCTCCTATAAAACTTCACTATTCTTTCTTAATATTACTGCTAATCATTCCTGACTTGAAACCAGCTATGTGGGAATAGTGGTTGTGAATGAATCCCGAGTCAAGCTGCACAAACTCCCACTGTAGTCCTTCATACGCTCCCCAGAGCATGTCACATGTATGTACACTGTGTGATCTTAGCGTCTTAATCCAGAGGTTGTCTGGATATGCACAGCCTCTACATTTACACTAACATCCGAGATTTTTTTTTCTTCTGATGTAGCCAAAAGGATTTCAGCAGAAACCCCCCTCCTCTCCCCTCCACATCACGCTTAATTTAAAACCATGGCTGAGTTAGTGTGCTCCTTCAAATACCGCACTATTTCTTCCAGGACCCTGTGGGAGATTGGCAGGTCCCCATTGGACTGAGCGAGAAAAGTGCCACAAGACAAAAATATCAGAGTTTGGACGTGATGAAGAAAGCCTTTATGCTCAGGGTAACAAAAAACAGCTTGTGTTGAATACCTCCTGGCTAGAAGGTGAGACACGCTTTAATGTAGTCGAGTGAGATATGTCATTGGAGGAGCAGATGTGATAGCATAACCCTACATAGCCTTCGGCACTGCCAAATGTGCATCAAATGTGGCAATGTGCGTCAGGAAGAGTGTTGATGGAGCAAATACTTGTCATGGTCTCTGACTACATTTGATTCCAGGGAAAATGTTTAGCTTAATAAATTTGTTTGGTTGATTTTTAACTCTGTCATGACACAAATTCATATTTTTAAGTCCATGTTGTGAGTATGTGGGACATCTTACCAAGTGTGGAGCCTAATGCTTTTCCTATGAGTAGTTTTCTGGTTGATAGTAACAAGGCCAAAGTTACCAGCTTTTGATTTTAAATACATTTCCTTGCTCTTTGTTGCTCATTTGCAGCTTCCCTGAAGAACCAATGTTGACACAGATTAATATGACCACTCTTGTTGACTCCGGTGATTAAAGAGTGTCATCACTTTCAAATAAATTACATTTCACCAAACAATTTTAATATTGTTTTATGTAGCTGTATTACGCAGAGAGGTGTAGATTTATTCCAAAATGCCCAATAACCCACCAAACCAAACACAAACTTATGTAAACACAGCATACGTAAACAGCCTCACCTATTTGTCATTCCAGGTTTGAATGACTCCTTTCTCCATCCTTCTCCTCAGAGGTATTCCCTCGTTCTGGACCGATGCTTCCTGCAGACCATTGACTGCATCCAGAAACTAAAGTAAATAGTAGAGCTGTGAACGCAGAGGTTAAAGTTAGCCATCAGTATATGAGGGATCTGTGAACTTTACTCAGGCCAGAAAACGGTTTGTGCCCTCTATGAGTCCATTCATCTCCCAGTGCCTCTCATTTACATGTAATGGAAAGAAAATAAACAGTGAGGTCCTAATGTGCTCATTTACAGTAAGTAGAAACATAGTAATGAGCTGTTATCTCTAAAAAGACGGGGAATTAGCCGTGATGAGCACTTTTTTTAGCAAGTCATCTGTAGGTCAAAGTCTGCAGGATGAGAGAAACAACAGCTGACATTGATATCCAAAACCAATCATGGAAGTGTTTACTGCATGCAAGTCAACATATTGACTAGAAAAGTTGTCAGGGTGTCTGATCTTGTTTTTGACAGGAGCTCTGCTATCTCATTTCAAACTTTCAAGGTTTTGTCTGCCTGTTTTCAAACATCTTATTTTGGACGCGGGTGCCAAATGTTCTGAGGTGTCATTTTTGTGCTGACAGCCCTTTTTGCAATGTGGTTTATTTCAGCAACTTCAAATATAGGTGAAGTGAGGAAAGTACTTGTCGTACTGTCAGACAGCTGTTTTTCTGTGTAGATTTTCTACATTTATTATCCTGACTGTCAAGAGCCAGTCAATGCATAGGGTTTGTCCCTTAAGCCGAAAACATACAGGATCCGTATTGAGTGGGTTCAGTATTTACTCCGTAGAGCAGCATTGGATATCGCATATAGGATGTGTATTTGGAGTATGGCAGCAGCACAGTGCAGCCCTGGTCCGCTGGGCTCAGTATAGAGGAAACATCAAACTCACAGCAGGTTGTTTTGCCTTTCTGTGGTCTATTTCCTGCTAATTTGGATGTAATTCAGTGACCGTTGAGCCTCTACTGTATGTGAAAAAGCAACGTGATTTTACAGTTTGGGTTTTTGCAGGTTTACTCATGTATAACAAAGTAAATTATGTTCCTTTATGGTGTGCTGTTACCTTCAGACAGAGTTGGCAGTTAAAAGTCTTGTTGGGGTCTACATGGATCAGGGATTGACCATCAGATTGTTCTGTTACTAATAAATCCATAACCAGGAAGTATTTCTTATCTACACGAACTGATACACAGTCGGGAGTTCGCATATGGTGTTTTTTTTTTAAAATACCAGATGACATGCACGGTTTTTATGCTTCACTTCCTGTCTGGGACAATCTTCTCTGTGTGGATTGACGCGCATTGGAACCGCAGAGCAGCAAAAAAAGACTGCGTATCTTTAGCAGTGCTGCTCTCGATACGATGCTGTGACGGAGCTGATACACGTCCTGTATGCTTTGCTGCATTGATTAGAATGGCAACCTGTTTGCTGCGTGATAAGCAACGCTGCTGCCATGCGATGCTGCTGCCACGCGACAAATACGCATCCTGTATTTTTTAGCCTTTAGACTGGATTGGATCGGATCAGAAATTCATCTTTGCGTCTAGTGGACTGTACAGTTGCAACACAGAGCATTAATATAATTCATTGACAGATCCCTAGAGCTTCAGTGGACTTGCAGCTTTCCAATAATTTGTTGGTGACATGTTGAGCATAAAAACCGAATGCTACATCTCCATGTTCGCTCCTGACTCTGGGGAAAGAAAGCAGACCAGTCTCTGACAGCCTGAGTGGTCTGTATGGTGTCTAGTGTATCATATGGTCACTGCTGTCTTCTGACCCTAAAGCATTTCACACTTTACAAACCAAAAGTGGTGGTTTATGTCTATTATCTCACAGAAAGAGAGCCAGAGCTTGAGTGTTCAGATCTACTACGCCAGTGTTAGTAAGAGCTGAAAAGAAGCATTTATTGATTTTCAAGGAGGTTAATTGACCGTAAAGAAAAGTTGCCACGGAGTGAATAGACCTGACAAACTAGCCCGTCTGTCATTACAAATCAAGCAATCAGGAACAAAAATGCGTTTTGAAGGAAAACCCATTTTGGTGTTGACGCTATTGTAGAATCGAACAGCTGCACTTTTGCTAGTCTGTGGCACACAATGGCGGAAAAGCCTTGAATACAAACGGACTCCAAAACAACCCTGAAATAATAACAATGACTTTTAAAGCTGAACTCTTTTGACACTACAGCTCCCTGCAGTCTGCACTCTCTGTTCTCGCTTTAAAAGACTATTTTCCTTACCAATGAAACTTAGCTGTCACTCTTCAGTGTTTGTCCTCATCTAACCACCACCCCATAAGAGCATGAACAATTTCCAGACTCTAAATCGAAAAGCACTCTTTTTCTGGCACTGAAATGATCAATACCTCCAAGGAAGAACACATCACTTAACAAGATGTTTTCTTGACCACTGATAATCTTGCACCTGAATGTACAATATAGATGGACATGTGTGTACATTTGAACATGCGTTATATCTATTTATAGCCATATTGCGCTAGAGCTGGATGTTTGAACCACTGGTGCAGATATCCTCGGGGTTTTTAGCCAATGGGAGGTCAGATCTCCTAATGAATAAAGGTGTTTTACAAAGCATTAAACACGTGACGACACACTGTGCATTGACATTTTGCACACATATACAATCTGCTGCCTTCTGGAAAAAAAAGCATGCGAGTGCTTCTGATTCCAGGCTGCTGATTTTTCTTTATGATGTTACCTTTACATGATCGTTCACAGCACAGAGACAGGCAGAAATAATTGGGAGAGCGAAAAGGGGATGACATGCCAGCTGAGCCACTTCGAAGCCCCAGGAGGCTTTTACTGCTCATTGAAAATCTCGCTGTGCATGTCCTATTATTATAAATGTGCGAAGCGTTGTTTTGACTTAACAAATACATCCACTAATTAATACTTAAAGAGCCCTTGTTATGTCTGCAGAGGATTTTCAAACAGCTATAGAGGGAATGTAATCAAGAACTTCGCACAAAGAAAGCGAAACTTGCCTTTACCATGTTTTGAAGCTCTTTAAACAATCCTGATAAATAAGCTGCATTATTAAAACGGAGCCACCACCCATATTAAAAATACACTGTTTTTTTTTTCTTTCTGCAGCCTGAACAAGCTGTTCCCTACTCCTCCCTCTCTTACTGCTGTAACTAGTTGGCGGCGCAGAAGAAAGAGTGCAGTTAGTTTAAAAAGGAGACATATTTTGGTAAAAATAGAACACATCTCAATGCCGAAAGCAGAGGCTCCATCACCCTACTTGTCCTCCACCCCCTTAAACCCAGCTGTTATGGCTCCAAGCTTGTTCTCGCTTTCATGAAAAATCTCACTCAGTAGATGTAGGACAAAAAATGTCAAACAAAATCGGCCCCAATGGAGAAGACCTTTTGACTACCCTGTATTACAATCAGACA